CCCTGAACCCAATCACCAGCGAGGGCCCATGCGCATTGCCTGGTCATCCCAAACTGTCCTCACCCAGACTTGAAGTCCCAAGCTGGCAGGGTTTAGGCTTTAGGGCTTATAGGGTTTAGGGTTTAGGGTTTAGGGCTTCTTGGGTTTAGGGTTTAGGGCTTCTTGGCTTTAGGGTTTAGGGCTTCTTGGCTTTAGGGTTTAGGGTTTAGGGTTTAGGGTTTAGAGGGTTTATAAGGTTTAGGGATTATAAGGATTAGGCCTTGAGCGCCTGCTTCTGTTTCAGCAATTCGTGTAAAAACCACAAGGCTCCGTGACTTGATGCCTCATTGCCCTGAACTCGGATGCCCGGTAGTACCCTTATTCACTTTCAGCCAAAAAAAGGGTTTAGGGTTTAGGGTTTAGGGTTTAGGGTTTAGGGTTTAGGGTTTAGGGTTTAGGGTTTAGGGTTTAGGGTTCCCTTATTCCCCCTGAACCCTGAACCCTGAACCCCAAACCCTAAACCCCAAATCCGTTTTACTGGACCTCCGCCGTTACAGTGACCCCCCCATCATGCCGGCGAAAGATCACCTCAAAGAGCATCGCAAGAGCATGCCAAGACACCCAATGCCATTCCAAGAGCATCCTAAACCCTAAATCCTAAACCCTAAACCCTAACCAAACCTTAAGCCCTAAACCCTAAACCCTAAACCCTAAGCCCTAAGTCCTAAACCCTAAACCCTAAACCCTAAACCCTAAACCCTAAACCTTAAACCCTACACCCTACACCCTAACCCTCCCTCCTTTGTTGCAAGCCCAGGTTTGCCCAAAAGGCCTGGCGCTGGGTGGACGTTACAGGCGGGCTCTACTTGGGGGATAGCAGGGTATGGTGTTTAGGGCTGAGGGTTTAGGATTTAGGATTCGGGTTTAGGGTTTAGGGTTTAGGGTTTAGGGTTTAGGGTTTGGGGTTTGGGGTTTAGGGTTTAGAGCTGTTAGGGTTTATAAGGCTTTAGTGCTTTTGGGGTTTATCATGTTTAGGGCTTAGGGCTTCTAGGTTTATAAGGCTCAGGGCTTAGGGCTTTTGTAGGTTCATAACGTTTAAGGCTTAGGGCTTGTAGGGTTAATAAGGTTAGGTTTTGGACTTAGGTCCCCTATATATATATATATATAAATAATATACCTTGTATAGTCCCCTATATACCTGAGTGGCCCCTAAATATCCCCCCACATAACCCCTAAGGTCCCTTATAAGGGTCCCTCCTTTAGTCCCTTGAAACCCTAAACCCTAAACCCTAAACCCTAAACCCTAAGAGAACAGTTCTGAGTTCTGGTTTTGCAGTGTTGGGCTGGGCATGCAAGGGGCTTCGTTAGGGGAGAATTGAGGGTTTAGGGTGTACAGGGTTTAGGGTTTAGGGTTTAGGGTTTAGGGTTTAGGGTTGGGGCTTAGGGTTTAGGGTCCTAAACCCAAGACTCCCCCTCGAGAATGAAGACCAGGCAGTGACGGTCACCAGGATTTAAGGTTTGGGGCTTAGGTTTAGGGTTTAGGGTTTAGGGTTCAGGGTTCAGGGTTTAGGGTTTAGGGTTTAGGGTTTAGGGTTTAGGGTTTAGGGCGGTTTTGCCAATAGACAGCCAGCGGCTCCGACAATTCCAACACAGCCGAGCTGGCAAAAACGGTTCTCTCATCTCGTATACTCACGTGCAAGAGCCGTGCCTTATCCGTCGACATGGTGTTAAGATGTTAACCCTATATGTGATGATCCCCAGACGCCCGGAAAGATTTTCAAATTGAATCACCCACGAGCAGCAAAAGGAACAGAAAGGAAAACCAAGGCATTTCATGGAAGTTCTTCTTTCTCTTCGGAGCCCAATAGGGGAACTTTTAAGCTTTTTGGGTATACTACACCCCTACTAAAAGAAAAGCTTAAACCTTTTTAAAGCCAGGGTATTGCGCAACCAAGTTCTAGGTCCTCCCAAAAAGGGCTTAGGGTAGTTTAGGGTTTAGGGTTTAGGGTTTAGGGTTTAGGGTTTAGGGTTTAGGGTTTAGGGTTTAGGGTTTAGGCTTTAACCCCAAAAGCTTAGATGTTAGAATCGCAGCGTTTTGAAATCGCCGCGTTTGGGGAAAGCCCGAATCGCGCGATTTGAATGGGTATGTATGAGGTTGAGAAAGAGGCTTCAAGGAGAGCTTGAAGGGGGAAGCTACATGATTTTTCTGGGTTCATTAAAGATCTTTCGAACAGCTCCGTTGCTTAAACCTCTCGTAATTTCCCTACCCTCGACTCCGGTTTAAGGTTGAGGGTTGAGGGTTTAGGGTTTAGAGTTTAGGATTGAGGGTTGAGGGTCGAGGGTGGAGGGTTGAGGGTTGAGGGTTATTTGGTGCTCGACCCCCCCCCCACCCTTCAGAAGAACCAGGTTCTAAACACTTATCCTAAGTCTTGAACCCATAAACCTTGAAGGGAAAACATCAGACATGATTTTTGCCAGGGCCTGCAAAAATCATTTCGTGCTCACCCCCCCCCTCCCACTCCACCCCCACATCAGAAGGACCAGATTCGGTACAAACCAAAAAACGCACAGTGCTCTCGGAAGTAAGTCGTTGAACATGCTACTTTTCTGGATAGATTCCTCAACCTGACTGTTCATACATGGAAAAGCCTAGCTTAGAGCCTAGAGCCGAGATTCTCAAGGCTAAACTCTCAATCCTAGCCCCTAAACCCAAAACCGTGCAAAAAAAACACCCAGCTCGAACATAAATGATACTGCCACAACGAAGACACAAGTGCCATGGATGGAGCCCTGTAAAACCTAAAGCCGACACTCCTACATGGTCGTGACACTCAAAAGAAACCAAATCCTGCATCTCAACAGGTTCAGCTTCGGCAGGCCTGAAGACTGTCACACGTCGCGGAAGACAGAAACCTGGAATCTGAATTGTGCTTGGATCGCTTCAAATCGCCAACAAATCGCTGCAAATCGTAGGGCAACTTGGAAGTCAAAGGACCATGCCCACAAGTTTGCTAAGAAACCCTCATCTTAAGGCCTGTTAGCCCTAAACCCATAAACCTTGAAGGGAAAACATCAGAAATGATTTTTGCCAGGGCCTGCAAAAATCATTTCGTGCTCACCCCCCCTCCCACCCCACCCCCACATCAGAAGGACCAGATTCGGTACAAACCAAAAAACACACAGTGCTCTCGGAAGTAAGTCGTTGAACATGCTACTTTTCTGGATAGATTCCTCAACCTGACTGTTCATACATGGAAAAGCCTAGCTTAGAGCCTAGAGCCGAGATTCTCAAGGCTAAACTCTCAATCCTAGCCCCTAAACCCAAAACCGTGCAAAAAAACACCCAGCTCGAACATAAATGATACTGCCACAACGAAGACACAAGTGCCATGGATGGAGCCCTGTAAAACCTAAAGCCGACACTCCTACATGGTCGTGAAACTCAAAAGAAACCAAATCCTGCATCTCAACGGGTTCAGCTTCGGCAGGCCTGAAGACTGTCACACGTCGCGGAAGACAGAAACCTGGAATCTGAATTGTGCTTGGATCGCTTCAAATCGCCAACAAATCGCTGCAAATCGTAGGGCAACTTGGAAGTCAAAGGACCATGCCCACAAGTTTGCTAAGAAACCCTCATCTTAAGGCCTGTTAGCCCTAAACCCATAAACCTTGAAGGGAAAACATCAGAAATGATTTTTGCCAGGGCCTGCAAAAATCATTTCGTGCTCACCCCCCCTCCCACCCCACCCCCACATCAGAAGGACCAGATTCGGTACAAACCAAAAAACACACAGTGCTCTCGGAAGTAAGTCGTTGAACATGCTACTTTTCTGGATAGATTCCTCAACCTGACTGTTCATACATGGAAAAGCCTAGCTTAGAGCCTAGAGCCGAGATTCTCAAGGCTAAACTCTCAATCCTAGCCCCTAAACCCAAAACCGTGCAAAAAAACACCCAGCTCGAACATAAATGATACTGCCACAACGAAGACACAAGTGCCATGGATGGAGCCCTGTAAAACCTAAAGCCGACACTCCTACATGGTCGTGAAACTCAAAAGAAACCAAATCCTGCATCTCAACGGGTTCAGCTTCGGCAGGCCTGAAGACTGTCACACGTCGCGGAAGACAGAAACCTGGAATCTGAATTGTGCTTGGATCGCTTCAAATCGCCAACAAATCGCTGCAAATCGTAGGGCAACTTGGATCTCAAAGGACCATGCCCACAAGTTTGCTAAGAAACCCTCATCTTAAGGCCTGTTAGCCCTAAACCCAAAAACCTTGAAGGGAAAACATCAGAAATGATTTTTGCCAGGGCCTGCAAAAATCATTTCGTGCTCACCCCCCCCCCCCAACCCCACCCCCACATCAGAAGGACCAGATTCGGTACAAACCAAACAAGCACACAGTGCTCTCGGAAATAAGTCGTTGAACATGGTACTTTTCTAGATAAAATCCTCAACCTGATTGTTTCATACATTGAAAAGCCTAGTTTGGGTTGTGCGAGAGGGTGTTTAGCTTCCCTAAACTCTAAACTCTTACTCAAAAATGCATGAAAGAAAATCTGTACTTCGCTACGTGCGAGTTTCGAGACCAATGAGGGCCTTCGAATGGCTCCGTAAACTGAATTTCCAAACAACTGAAGGCTTTCCAGCACCTCTCTGAATCTAAATTTCCGGTTATTCAAGGCTTCCTAAAAGCGCCCCTGAACTTGAACTTCTGAAATCGTGACAAAGTCCTTGGGCCCAAGCTGGCTAAATGATTTTTCCCAAACCCGCAATAATCATTGAACCCACTTCTCACGAGTGCTTCTTGAAAGCAGCACAAGCTGCGATTTGGCATTGGAAACCCGAATCGCGCGATTTGCGTTTCCAATGCTTGAATACGACCAAATAAGAAGCGATTTGGGCCTGCGTGTTTAAATCGCAGCGATTTGATTCCGCGATTTCATCTTCTAAGCCCAAAAGCCCTCGCGGAGGCTTCTACACCAAGTGGCACTCCCGCCGCGCCTGGATCCTTGACATGGAGCCCCAGTCCCGAGCTTCATCGATACTGGTCACCGAGTGCCCTGCGGCAGTTTCGGCAGTTCGGTGATCGTAACAAAAAAACCCTACACCCCAAACCCGAAACCCAGAACTGATGGCGCTTTTCAGGTACGAGAGGAAGCTCTTGCTGTGGCTGACGTGGGTGAACTTCTTCTACATCCCGATCAGCCCCTCAGCGTGCCAAGCAGATGTAGCTGGGTAGCAGGCCACAAGTGATAAGGGTATTTCCCAAAATCGTGGTACCCTTTTTATACCCCAAGTAGAACAGCATCCTCTTAAAGGGACCCCCCCAAAAGGGTACCCCTATTTTCGGAAACCCCCATATGGTTGGTCACAGGCAAGGGGCCAGGAAGAGGAACCGCATCTTGAGAGTGCTGCGGGGAGACGTTGCCCGAACACCAGGCCGTTGCTATGAGACTTCTCCGCAGTCCTCCAAAAACTCCCAATGCCAAAAACTCTAAATCTGAAACTTACCAAAGAGTAAGTAACCCTAAACCCTAAACCCCAAGAAACCCTGCAGGCCCTAATCTGCTACAGTCGGGGGAGAGCAGTATTAGGGCTTTGGAGGTTCTGGGGTTCGATCCATGCCGATTTTGCTCTCACTTCAGTCAGTAGTTTAGGGCACCGCAAAGTGCACTGCACGTTAGATCAAAGTTCCCAATACCCCTTGCTTTCAGGAATATACCTCAATTCGGGTAGCTTCCTCAACTAGGACCCCCATGGTGGGCCCTTAGTCCCGTGTTTTTGGGTTGAGGTTCCTACTCTAAGGCCTCCTCACTAAGGTTGGAGGCACGCTCTGTAGCAAGAGCGCACTGTGCTCTATGAGGACCCTTCACGGGACCTTAGGTCTCTGTGGGGGGGTTTTCCGAATGTGGGGGGAGGGCTTCCTAGAATAGGAGTTCTAGCATTTTGGCTCTATACGGGGGGTACCCCCTAGTTTGTGAAATGCCCGTACATTGCCCGATTGATGGACCTTGGCCTTCACTGCCCAGGTGTCTGGTATTGGTACGGCCAGTTCACTCACCTGCCCAGACCTCAGCTTTCGAGCGTACCCGAAACCCTAAACCTTAAACCCTCAACCTTAAACCCTAAACCTGAAACCCTAAACGTTAAACCCTATACGTTAACCCGAAAGCCTAAACCCAGGGTTTAAGCAGGGTTGATTGGGCACGGGAAGAGTGAGCGGTCGCCAGTGACTAGGTTTAGGGCTTATAAGGTTTTTAAGGGTTTATAGGGGTTTTCAGGGGTTTACAGGGTTTACAGTGTTTACAGGATTCATCAAGTTTATAGGGTTGATAGGGTTTGAGGGTTTTGGGTGAGGGTTTTAGGTTTTAGGGTTTAGGGTGCGAACTCGACAGCGCTAAAGCCAAGAGAGTCCGACATACCCAACCCACCAGTGTCTCTAAGGGAAGTTAAAGTTACTACATGGTCCCCATTTAAGGGCCGATACTAAGGAGCCATGTAAATTCCCTTCGACAGTAGCACCTGTTTCTTCATCCATATCCACCACCTCAGAAAAACCCTCAAGAAGCCATTTCAGGGAACCCTGAAAAATCCTTAAATTAAAGCAACCGCTATAATTACTATTATTAGGTCCGGAGCACTAACTTATGTTCTTTTGGGTCCCTCTTTCATTCTGAGCCCTCTAACTATTCTGAGGGGATACCCAAACAAGGGGCCACAACTTAGACACCTAACCATCTAGCAGCTAAACCCTACGCCCTAACCCTAAACCCTGGCCCTAAACCCTAAATCTAGCCCAGAAATGCGGTTGATCAGTGGCCACGGAGGTCCTCGAAGCCACCGGTGCCACTGATGCCTGAGTACCAGTACATGAACGGCCGCAAACGACACCTGGATGCACAGCTGACTTTAGGGTTTAGGGTTTAGGGTTTAGGCTTTAGGGTTTGGGGTTTGGGCTCGAGCTCAAGGTAACCTTTGACTAACTTCCCCACTTAGGCCCTGTGTTGTTCGCTTCCCTATTTGGGTTGAAGCAGACCTTGTTTGGGAATCGTGAATTTTGGGCCTCTGGAAGCTCTCCAGCTCGAATCGCACCCTAAACCCTAAACCCTAAGCCCTAAGCCCTGAACCCTGAACCCTGAACCCTGAACCCTGAACCCTGAACCCTAAACCCTAAACCCTAAACCCTAAACCCTAACGCAAACAGGACATGTCAACCCTGGAGAACCCCAAGTCCCAGAAGCCCACGCACGGATGCCCCAGGCGACTTCTCCCACGTGGGCGGCCGCTGGAACGACTGCAAGGATCGGGTTGAGGGTCTAGGGTTTAGGGTCTAGGGTTTAGGTTCAGGGTTCAGGGTTCAGGGTTCAGGGTTCAGGCTTCAGGCATTGGTGTCGGGGATGTGTGGGTGTGTGCGGGGGGTTCCCTTTTTTGCAGGGGGGGAGGGGGGGGGGGGGGGACATCATGACTCCCGGTATCAAAGGCTCCTTACACAGGAGCCTGAACAAGAACACTGGACATGCCTACGTGCGCTGAATTGCATGTGCAGGCCTTTGCTAAAAGGCCGGGGGTGTTTAGGGTTTAGGGTTTACGGTTTAGGGTTTAGGTTTTAGGGTTTAGGGTTAGGGCCCGCAGGCTGAGGTTCAACTCGTGAAGGAATGGCTTCGGAAGCTGAGGGGGTCGGGCCCGAGGTCTTTAACCTCTTGCCGAGGGCTTTCGGGACCAGGGTCAAATGGCTTAGGGTTCGCTCGCCTGTCATGCTGAATGTCAAGCACCCGTCTCAGACACACCCGACACAGCCTCCCCCACCCACCTCCCAAGCGAGGAGCGTAAGTACCCTAAACCCTACACCCTTAACCCTTAAACCCGAACCCCCCGCCCCCTGAAATCCTAAACTGCAAAGAGAGACTGAGAAGACAGCTCATGAACTTCTGGCTGGCAAGCATCGGCCCTCGCGAGGCGTGCATGAGCCACGCAGAAGTCCTACGGAGCACCGAACCAACTCCCAAACGTAGCTACCCTATGCAAGGCAGCTTCCGCGAGAACAAGCCAGAGTGGGGTGGTGCAGGCTTTTGGGGTTCTAGGGTTTTACCGAGGCTTTGGACCCCCGAAACCCTAATGACCCATGACCCTAAACCCTAAACCCTAAACCCTAAACCCTAAACCCTAAACCCTAAACCCTAAACCCTAAACCCTAAACCCTAGGGCCTGGCTTCCTGAAAGGAGTGCCGCTGGCTGGAGATGGAGTGCAAGAAGATGTGCTTCGATCGTCTCCGCGAGGAGGGCCGCGAGGTGCCTTGGTTTTTTGTTGCGGGTACGGGGTTTAGGGGTTTAGGAAGTTTAGGGTTTAGGGTTTAGGGTTTAGGGTTTAGGGTTTAGGGTTTAGGGTTTAGGGTTTAGGGTTTAGGGTTTAGGGTTTAGGGTTTAGGGTTTAGGGTTCAGGGTTTTGGGTTTTGGGTTGTGGGTTGTGGGTTGGGATGTTCCCCCTTATACTAGCAGTCCTTAATTGGGATTGTAGTACCGCCGAGTATCATCCCTATTAAGGACTGTTAGAATCAGGGGGAACATCTCAAGTTGTAGGTTTAGAACCCTAAACCCCAAACCCTAAACCCTAAACCCCAACCTCCTAACCACAGGTGTGGGGACTGCGCCGGCCCCGTACGCAGACCATCGGCTTCCACTGAGGGAGGGGACGCCCCTGCAGGGTGGAGCGTGGCCACGGCATCGATCCACCCAAAGCTTTATGCCCGTAAGTTGGAGGGTTTAGGGCTTGGGGTTTGGGGTTTAATTAGGATTTAGGGTTTAGGGTTTAGGGTTTAGGGGATCCACCCAGCTAGTGGGCAGTCTTAAGAAGGGTTAGAATAGCAGCATGGAAACTGTACTTACAACCTTGTTTGGGGGGTACTTAGAGCTCTATTTAGTCCATAAGTTGGGGCCTCCTCGTCCGATTCTTCGCTGTTCTTGTTGCGATCGTTTTTTGAACCCGCGGCCACGCCACCCTGATCTTCTTCGGGGCCATGTCTTCCATGGATTTGACAACCGCCGCTATCCTTGAATGCAAAGCCTGTACACAACGACACAGGACTGTTCTGCAGACAGAGAGAGAGAGAGAGAGAGAATGCGATAATGTAGGGGTCGGAAAAAGTTACTAATCGTATACCCACCCGTCTGGTCCCTGTATAATTAGATTATAGTAACCTCCAAAACCCTATTCTTATTTATTAAGGCCCCTAGAATCGTTCTTGAGTCGGTGGTCTCTTCCTTCGTAAAGACGCATCTTGCAGCTATGCCCGAGGCGCGGTCGAGAGACGAACAAAAAGAAGGCATCGCGTGCGAGAGGGCTGGTAAGGTCCATGCGAGCACACAGCCACCACAAAATTGCGTTAGCTGCACCCTCGGATCCCCATAGCGCAAGCACTGCCTGGGAAAAGGGTTAACCTTTAGTTTTGTAGGAAACGACCAGCAGCTGGCTGTAATACTGTGTTCTAGGTAGCACTGACCCTTGAAAGGGAGCCCTAATCCTACCCCTAAACCCTTAAACCCTTAAACCCTTAAACCCTTAAACCCTTAAACCCTTAAACCCTTAAACCCTTAAACCCTTAAACCCTTAAACCCTTAAACCCTTAAACCCTTAAACCCTTAAACCCTTAAACCCTTAAACCCTTAAACCCTAAACCCTAAACCCTACAGAGTTTAGGTTCAAGCTGGAGAACGCGCCACGACTCGTAGAGAGCGATGGCGATGGAGTTGCGAAGGGTGGCCTCCTCTTCCAGCCACTCTTCTCTTGTTGGCTAAGTGGTGCCCTTTTGCCCTGTTAGGGTTATGGGTTTAGGGTTTAGGGTTTAGGGTTTAGGGTTTAGGGTTTAGGGTTATAGTTTACCACAAAAAGTACCCTTGTAACAATTCCTTGGGCTTCCCCCAGAAACCCCCAACCCCCGGTTGGGTGGTAGCTGCCCGGAGCCGCAGAAGCAGGCCCAACATGACACCTATACGTTATAATGGTTGGTGGTCTCTTTAAGTGGGGTTTCTGTTTTGTAGGGGGTTCTTGTTCGTGTCTAGGGGCTATATTAAGGTATAAGGGCAACAGAGAAAGAGACCACCGGCCTTCATAACCTATACGTGCAGAGGCGCCCTGCTTCTTTCACATTAAGGGCCTTTAAACCTACCATTGGTTCATTGGACGTCATCCCCTTCGCCGGCCCACCTTGTGTCAAAGTCGAGGCATGAGCCTTTTTTGGAATAAAAGTTTTTGCTACCATTCGCTGAAGAACCCCCCAAAAATTAAAAATGATAAAACACAATTCCTATATTACCCTCATAGGAAGAATATTGTTTATTTCTGGGTTCTTCAGCAAATAGTAGTTTGTAGGTTTTCGATAATGACATGCTGCGATCCTTAATGAAGTCTGAAGGCGTGCACTGAGCCCGAGCCCAGGCGATGCTGGCCGAAAGCACCCAAATCTTTCCGATGAGGACGCCCTTGCTGCAATTAAGGGTTTAGGGTTTAGGGTTTAGGGTTTAGGGAAAGTTTAGGTTGTTGGGCTAGGGCATTGGGATTTAAAGCGCCTGGATGATAATGAATAGTTGCCCCTTTTGTATCCCAGAATTGCGACGTTGCCATGTGACGCCCTGTAAAGTCTCCGCACTAAAGTGGAAAAGCTCTTTTGCAACAAGTCCAGCACGACGCTTTGTCCGGCCATCCCTCTAAAAACTGATCCTCTCTGTTTTTGAGCTTCGCCCAGGACCTGCAGGAGTTTCAAGAGATCTTCAACCTGGTGGACACGGACCGAGGTGGCTCAATTGGTACAGAGGAGCTGGCCAGGCCCTACGCGCTGGGTGGGGGCGGTGTCTAGGAGAAATGCCGAGACTTCTACATCTAGATTAGTGTCCAGGCTGTGCTTGAGAACAGCAAAGGGCTCCTCGGGTTTAGGGTGAAGCTTCCTGCGTCCCCGGGCCCTTATGACTGAGCCTTTGAAAATCTGGCCCTAAACCCTAAACTAAGCCCTAACCCCTAAACCGTTTCCTTGTTTAATAAAAGAAGCACTTCTGTCGTTTTGGGCTTAGGGTCTAGGAGGTCAGGGTTCCCTTAGCTGCACCAGTCAGTCAGCAAAAAGGTTTAGGGTGTAGCGTTTGGGGTTTAGGGTTGAACGGGCTAGAATTCGGGTACTTGGGTGGTGCGGTTTTTTGGGGGTAGTTTCTTGGCAGCCCTGTGGTAGTGCCCTTTAACCCTTTTGTTTATGGGTTCCCTTAAAAGAAGTATAAAATCAAACAAGGGTACCCTTGTTATAATATGGTTACTGTGCTAACAAGGTCTCAGGTCGTTTTCAGAGTTTAGGGTTTGTAGGGTGGTGTAGGTTTAGACAACCAAAGCAGGAGGCACAAGAACTCGAAGAAAGCCGTTGCCATGAGATCACGAAGCGCCTACCTCCTTCCCATAAGACCTAAAGCCTAAACCCTCAACCCTAATTTCTAGACCTGAACCCTGAGCTGGCAAACCCTAAACCCTAAACCCTAAACCCTAAACCCCTAAACCCTAAACCCTAAACCCTAAACCCTAAACCCTGAAGGCTGATGGATACTCTGGGTATCCGTGCCGGCCTCAGTCCGTAGACTGCGCGACGCGGAGGCCCTTGCAGTCTTGCGGGGCCCCTTGGGAAGAAGTGTCCGCCTTCGCTGTTGCTGAAAGTATAGAACCTGGGCTATTAAGAAATTCTTGGGGGAGGGTTGAGCCCTATAAAACCTAGGAAGACCCAAAACCAGATTTGGAAGCCCCAAACCCTGAACCCTAAACCCTAAACCCAAAACCCTAAACCCTACACCCCAAACCCTAAACCCTCAACCCTAAACCCTAAACCCTAAACCCTGACTGAGGTACCAGCCCGGAGGAGTTGAAGCTCATGGTCTCGGAGATTGATGAGAGCTGTGCCTGCATCTGGGGTTTTGGGGCTTCAGGGTTTAGGGTTTAAGGTTGATGGGGGTTTTGGTTTTAGAGAGTAGGGTTTCTGCGCCCCGCAACCCGAGGAGACTTGGTAGGTCGTCCTGGGACCCTTAAACGCTCCCAGAGCCACATCGGGCATAGGCAACAGGATTGTGGTTTAAGATTTCTGGGTGAAACAGTGAACTTACAGCCTGCAAGGTACCCAACACTTCGGACCCAAACCCTACAAACCCTACAAACCCTAAACCGCAAACTTTAACCCTAAACCCTAAAACCTAAACCCTAAACCCAACCCTAAATCCGAATTCGGTGTTGCCACCGATGCACGCGCCACATGACCCTAAAACCTAAAACCTAAAACCTAAAACCTAAAACCTAAAACCTAAAACCTAAAACCTAAAACCTAAAACCTAAAACCTAAAACCTAAAACCTAAAACCTAAAACCTAAAACCTAAAACCTAAAACCTAAAACCTAAACCCCTCGCTACAGGTCGGGCTCTGGAACTGCTAGGACTTGTGGTGGGCCCCATTTTTCCTCCTTTGAAGCGATTAGGGTTCCCGTATGCACCCCTGCGAGGCGAAACCGAGAGGCACCCTGGTTCCTCCCGGAAGTTCAAGACTGAAACTGAAAAGACCGAAGCCGAAAATTTGGCCCGAGGGTTTAGGGTTTAGGGTTTAGGGTTTAGGGTTTAGGGTTTAGGGTTTAGGGTTTAGGGTTTAGGGTTTAGGGTTTAGGGTTTAGGGTTTAGGGGCTGCTCAGCTACACCTCAGCAGCGAAACCCTCAGAGCCTGCATGGCCCCCGCATCCGAAGGAATGGGAACGGAGAGATCGACTTCGAGGACTTTTTTCCTGTGGAAGGGAGGGTTTAGGGTTTAGGGTTTAGGGTTTAGGGTTTAGAGGTTAGGGTTTAGGGTTTGTGGTTCGAAGGTTTTTAGGGCCCTAAACCCGTGACTCCTATAGTGCAGGGTGTGGATTGCCGGCTGCGAACTTCAATTCTCAGCGTTTCATCCCTTCCGTTTTGGGTTTAGGCTTTAGTTAGGGTTGCGGCTCTCCCTAAACCCTAAACCCTAAACCCTAAACCCTAAACCCTAAACCCTAAACCCTAAACCCTAAACCCTAAACCCTAAACCCTAAACCCTAAACCCTAAACCCTTAACCTAAACCTGGGGCATGCCAGGAGTTTGTGCAGGTGATGTGCAGGAAGGCGCGGGCTTCAATGAAGCGACATGTCTTGTTTCGTAGTCCTGCATGTAACCCTGAACACCCGAATTCAGGAAAATCACCAATACATATAGATATACATATATAGATATACATATATATATATATATATATCATATACATATATATATATACATATATTTGCTCGCCCCCCCCCCCCCATGATCCACACATTTGGCCTCGGGAAGGCTGGTTTTGGGAGGGGGGGGACTCCAGACTCCAGATTTCCAGAAAATATTTGGAGTACCCCCAGACTCCAGACTCCAGATTTCCAGAAAAAATCTGGAGTACCTCCAGACTCCAGACTCCAGATTTCCAGAAAAAATCTGGAGTACCACCAGACTCCAGACTCCAGATTTCCAGAAAAAATCTGGAGTACCGGGACCCTGGACTCCAGATTCTGGAGTCTGTAATCTGGAGTCTGAGGCCGCGGGTACTCCAGATTTTTTCTGGAAATCTGGAGTCTGGAGTCTGGGGCCCCCGGGTACTCCAGATTTTTTCTGGAAATCTGGAGTCTGGGGCCGCGGGTACTCCAGATTTTTTCTGGAAATCTGGAGTCTGGAGTCCGGGGCCCCGGTACTCCAGATTTTTTCTGGAAATCTGGAGTCTGGAGTCTGGGGCCCGGGTACTCCAGATTTTTTCCTGGAAATCTGGAGTCTGGAGTCCGGGGCCCGGGTACTCCAGATTTTTTCTGGAAATCTGGAGTCTGGAGTCCGGGGCCGGGTACTCCAGATTTTTTCTGGAAATCTGGAGTCCGGGGCCCGGGTACTCCAGAATTCCTTTGGAAATCTGGAGTCTGGAGTCCGGGGCCCGGGTACTCCAAATTTTTCTGGAAATCTGTCTGGAGTCCGGGGCCCATGTTCTCCATATGCACGTTTAGGGATTACGGTTTAGTGTTTATTGGTTAGTGTTTAGGGTTAGGGTTTAGTGTTTAGGGTCTAGTGTTTAGGTTTTGGTTTACAAGGTTTAGGGTTTACTTATTAGGGTTTAGGGTTAAGCGACTTGGGCAATGTCTACAAGACTAAACCTCATAATGATGAAGTTTTAAAACCCCTAAAGGACTGAAACCCCCATGTTTTTTGTTTGGGGTTTAGGGTTTAGTGTTTAGGGTTTAGGGTTCAGGATGTGTTGTTTCGGGTTTAGGGTTTAGTGTTTTGTGTTTAGGGTTTAGTGTGTAGGTTTCAGGGTTATAGTGTTTTGTGTTTAGGGTTTGAGTGTTAAGTTTAGGGTCTAGGGTTTAGGTTTAGGGATAGGGTCAAGCGGCTTGGCTAAAACCCTAAACCAAATAAAGCCCTAAACTCTAAAATCCAAACAATTAGCATCTGAATCCCCGACGGGTTCTTGGTTTCAGGTTTAGATTTAGTAGGGCTTGAGCTTCCGGCATTGGGGTTTACTGTTTAGGGTTTAAGGTTTGGTGTGTAGGGTTTAGTGTGTAATGCTTTGGGGTTTAGTTTTTAGGGTGTAGTGTTTAGAGTTTATGGTTAAGCGTTTAGGGTTTCGTGTTAAGTGTTTGGGGTTTGTGCTAAGGGCTTCGTGTTAAGTTTTTAAGGGTAAGTGTTTGGGGTCTAGTGCTGAGTGTTTAGTGTTTGGTGTTAAGGGTTTCGCGTTTGGTTTTTAGGGTTAAGGGTGTTAAGGGTTTTTACAAATTGTAAATGATCTGGGGAAGGCACCGGGGCTTCCCCAGACCATTGACAACTTTAAAAATCCTTATGTTTAGGGTTTGGGGTTTAGTGTTCAGGGTTTAGTGTGTAGGGTTTAGTGTATAATGTTTAGGGTTTAGTGTTTAGGGTGTAGCGTTGGTTTCGTGTTAGGTGTTTGGGGTTTGTGCTAACGGCTTAGTGTTAAGTTTTGTAGGGTTAGTGTTTAGGGTCTGGTGCTGAGTGGTTAGGGTTTAGTGTGAAGGGTTTCGGGTTTGGTTTTTAGGGTTAAGGGTTTCAAGGTTTTTTTCAAGTTTAAATGATCTGGGGAAGGCACGGGGCCTCCCCAGACCATTTTTCAAAAAAAAAAAATAAATGGTCTGGAGAGGGCACCGGGGCTTCCCCAGACCATCTGAACTTTTAAAACCCTTAACATCTTATAAAAATCATTAAAATTCTGCTTAAACCTTCTCAGGATTTTCAAGGTTTTAAGGCCTTTGAAAAACCTTAAAATGCTTAAGCATTTTAGTGGCTGCCCTTTTAGGAAATTAAGGGTTTTTAAAGTTGTCAATGGTCTGGAGAAGCCCCGATGCCTTCCCCAGACTTCCCCAGACCATGTAAGTTTTTGCAAACCCTTAAAACCCTGAAATTCTTGCAGCTGTAAATGGCTGTCCTTTTTAAAGTTTAAGGATTTGATGTTCAATTCTAAAATCAAGTAACTTCCATAATTTTGAACGGCTGCCCTTTTACAATGTTAAGGTAGTCTAGAATTTTTAGGGATAAAAGCTTTCAGGTTTTTAAAGGCTTTAACGCCTTTTAAATCCTGAAAATTTGGAATGGCTTAAATACCTTAAAGCCCTTAAAATCTTAAAGGGGCTGCCCGTTCAAAAAAACAAAGTATTTTAAGGATTTCTAAAATTTGAAATGGTCTGGGGAAGCCCCGGTGCCTTCCACAGATCATCTAAATTTTCAAAAAGCCCCTAAACCCTCAAAAGCCTTCAAATTCTAAATGGCTGCCCTTCTAAAACTTTATGGAGCCACAAGACACACATTTCAGAAGCAAAATGTACATACAAAAACACTAGTGTTTTTATAGGGGATCATATAAAAGAGCTTTTTGTATTCCAGTACAGTTTTTACTGCATTTTTCCGAGGAAAAAGCAGAAAATCAGACAAAGACGAAGACCGGAAAACCATAGGTGTGGATCATGGGGGGGGGGTGACCACATATATATATATGTTTTTATTTATTCATGTAAAGTCGTGTCTTGTAAACATCCATGTTTATGGAAACATATAAATGTTCTTTTGATAATTTCCAATTTGCTAGAGCTATGATATGGTCACTTCTCTAAATGGTCCCTTTTGGGGTTTCTACAAGAAGGTGAGGGTACCTAAATAGAAATATCTAGATTGAAACCCAGTTTGCATGACGGGGCGAGGATTCAAGCACGTTTTGAAGCAATTCCTCTCAATGGCTTGCATGTCGGGTTTGCAATGGATTCAAGCAACTCCTCATGACGTCATGGTGTTCCTTCCTGCCTTCCTTCATTCCGCTCTCTTCCTTCCGCTTCCATCCTTCCGCTTCCTTCCTTCCGTTTCCTTCCTTCGGCTTCTTTCCTTCCGCTTCTTTCCTTCCGATTCCTTCCTTCCGTTTCCTTCCTCCCGTTTCCTTCCTCCCGTTTCCTTCCTTCCGTTTCCTCTCTGCCCAACGAGACAGCGCTAACACAGTAAGAAGAACACGCTCTGTACAACCAGTGCAACATAGTCCGCATGCAATTGAACAGTACACTGGACTGGAGTGGAGCACCTAAACCTGGAAAAAAAAAAACAGCTCCCCGTGCCTGTCTCCGCAAGGAAGCCAAGTGGATCGCACAAGCGAACTCTTCGAAACACAGCTCTCCATCCTGCGAGCACCACGAAGCCGATGAGCGCATGCAAGCTAGGGGTACAGTACAACCAATGCGACCAACCTCGCTCGAAACGCCTGTTGATTGTACCAGTGCTGCCTGAAGAAGACGCTTACTGTAGGACACCACGGTTTTGCGTTTGCTCCTTACAGCTTCTTGCCATGTTTGTACGCAGAAAGGAGGGAAATGCTTTGGGCGGACAAGGGATGCAACCCTTCGTGAACCAAAAGCTGTCGTTCGGGTTGTCATTCGAACGTTCTTCGAAACCCAGGCGAAACGACCAAATCTTGAAGGTTTGGGCGCATGCGACGGAAACCCTGCGAAGTCTTATCATCTTTTATTCCTAATTACTCAGATTCCTTTACGCTAACCACTCTTCGTGGTCACCCCTGGTTATCGCATCCCGGGATTCCCGGGATTTTGGACCCCCCCCCCCCCAACTTCAGTGGGGCGTCCTGGTCCACGTCACTCAGCTGCCAAATCGCCTCCAAAGACTCAACAGCGCAAGGCTTCCAAGAACTGCAGGCGCTGGAGTGTCAAGCATGTCAAGCCATTGTGTTTTTTTCTCCACTGGAAAGGTTGTTAATGCCGATGGTGCCACGCAGGGTTCTGCACAAAAGCGAGCGCAGAATCGGGTCCATGTTCTGTGGACTACGACCCGGAGCCATACAGGCCATGTCTTGTGCCAATACAAGGTACCCTTAATGCATCGAATTTTTGTCTTGTCGGACGCATCCATGGCCCCAAGCTGCGCTTCACAGGAAGTCACGCCTGGCAGTGGGCATGAGTTCCTGTGATGCGCAGTTTGGGAATGTTAGGGCCACTCTCGGCTTTTTGGGGCCGCATTGGAAGAAGTTGTGTGCGCTCAGAGTTAGAGGGGCACCTCCCGCTGAGGGTCACCATCTCGTGTCTTCTACCCTCTCCAAGGTGTCCGGCGGTATATGGCGAGTCGTGGCATCGCTTTCTGTGGTGGCAATGTTGTGATGCGTTGTGCATCTGCTTCAAAGAGCTCCTCTGCCCCAGCACCACGCCTCCAGCTCGAAAGCCGAGAGCTTCGACCGCTGCAGAACCTGCACGGCGATCAATCGGGAAATTCATGCTAGGTTCTGCTCCTTAGCCGTGGCAAGAACAAGCCACTGCAATGGATGAACCCAATGGCACGCAGCAGCGCTGCCAGCCTCTTGGGCTTCTACTGCACTGAGGGAGTCAGCGTGTCTGCGTTCGATGCTGTCGAAGATCTGCCGATACCTGGAAGGATGCCAAGGCCCGGTGGTGTCACTTGCAAGAAGTATACCGAGCGACAAGCAAGTCATACACCCGGAATGCCGTGTCACACAACACGACCTCCCCTGCTTGTCACAGGCAGGGAGAGCAGCCAAGCACCCCGAGAGCGAGAGAGAGTGAGAGAGACCGGGGGAGACAGAGGGCACTGGTTCAAGAGGTCTGGGTCGATGGCCTCACAGGACTCCAGATGAATCCAATGAATTAATGACAGCTTCTCCCGGGAGCTGCGCGCCCCCGCAAGAGGAGCACATGAGCATCAAGGCTCCGACCCATCTGGAGTCGTCCTCTCCCTGAGGAAGCCTGGGAAGGACATCTCTGTCGTGCTCTTCCCATTGGTCAAGGATGAGGTCAGAACAAGACTGGGGCACATGCGGGCTGGCCACTTCTGGAAAGTCCACGGCACCAGCCACCAGCCTTAGGGCACAGTCTGCTGGACGAGTGACAAAACAGGCAATCACTGTTTCATACTGTTCCAGGATTTCTCGAGATGGATAGCTTCGAATTGCAGCGAGATCGTTGTTCCAGCGTGCCTTGTCAAGGGCGAAGGCAGCTCCTGCCAGCAGCACCAGCGATTCGTGCAGTTCATCTGGCACATGGAGCACTACCACACGTGGACTACCAGAAAGATCCGGAGACATCCCGAAAACCTACCCGGGCCCGGGGCCCGCAAAACCATCAACTACATCTAAGTAACCATCCGTAAAACCCTTCAACTCTGGGTTTTCGCTTTCGCTGTTCGAACCTCCGGCAGGGATGAACCGGCGCGGCGCCTGGCTCCCGCAAAGGTGGTCTCTTGAACTCAAGATTTGAGGGCTCCGAAAGTCCAGGGCCGTTTGTTGGGCTGTTTGGGGTTTCAGCAGTTTTGGGGCACTTTTGGGTCCCGCTGCATTACCATTAGTAGTATGTTGAGATAAAATGCCATGTTGCTGGTAATGTTGGCAAAGCTAACACACCGAGGAATCATTTTCTGCCTGGCTGTGAGGTGCATGGCGCAGGCGAACTCGCACAAAGCCAGCTGGCCATCCCCATCCACCTTGAGGTTGGCAAAAAGCTTTAACGCGCAGGCGCGGATTTATACGGATTTAATAGGCCAGCTGCTCCTGCCAAGCCAGCCAAACCATGCTCCCCTCCCCCGAGTTGACTCGTACTCCACTAACAACCACGAAAACCGAACAACGTTGAACCAGAATTGCGCTCCCGCCCGAAGCTTCTGAACAGTGAAGCCCTTAGGGCGCAGGCATCGGCCAGGTACCAGATGGCCGCCAGTTCTGTCAAAGGGAGCCCGCTGCGCTCAAGCACCTACCAGTTTCTTGGCTTTGGTTCACAACCCAGACTTTAGAGGCGTTAGGGCCTACGAGCCTACGAGCCTACGAGGGTTAAAGGGAGGAAAAAGGTGGAAGGAGGGTGCCGTGGGGCGGTGGGTTCCTGTTTGTTTTGGCCCTTGAGACGGTCCAGGATTCCGTCTCCGTGTGGCCAAAAGGTTTAGGGCTGAAGGATGAAAGGGCATGCGGGGAAGTAGGATTGGTGTGGCTCACGAGGGTTCAGGTGCGAGATTGAGACATGGTAGGGAGCAATGCCATGGTCAGACAAAGCATGGAAAGACCACCATGAAGAGCGAGGTTGATGACCATCCTCACGTTGGGAACTCAAAGAACTCGACACATTGAATTTCCATCGAAGGAACGCTTGAATTGAGAGCAGCCGTTCTTTCGCTAGCAAAGAAGCCCAAACCGTCCATCTGATACGTTGGGGGCAAGCCCCGGGGATTTGGCAAAAAGAGCATCACATCAAGGAGGCAGGTCAGCAGGCAGAGGGCATGCCATGCCGACCTTGGCCGACCATACTCGCGGAAGGACGGAAAGCAATGACATGTCCACTGGCCTCCTTGCCTGCCTGCGTTCCAAGGAGGGCCTCGCTATCGCCCACGAGGCCTGCAGGCTTCTAAACTCCCTAAATGTCCTCTAAGGTTCCTAAGGCGAATACACATTGCTCAAGCGAACTCACTCAGTCAGAGGGGGATTCTCAGGGGGGCCACCTAGAAAGAGTTGCTTGTACTCGCCAAGCTCTTCCACCGACGGCTCCCAGAGCGCATCGCCTTGGGATTCTGCGAGGGGCAGAGTCATTTGGGGGGGGGGGGGGTCAGGGAACTTGAACCTAGGGAACCTGTGACGGCGGCGTGTTCCAAGAAGCAAACTAACTTTTGGGCTGCGCTCCAACAAGCAACATTGGCCTTGGCCTTCTCTTCTTGTTTGTTGTGATTTTTTTTTTGGGGGGGGGGGGGGGGGGGGGGTGCCTCCCAAAAATCAGTTACAACAAGCCTTCGGGGGGAGTAGCCTTAAGATTGGTGGAATCAATCAGTTAAGAGGTGGGGGGTGGCCCCCTCACTCAAGGCCCGCGGTCGCCTTCTGACTCACCTTCAACACTTCAGAGAAAGAGAAAGAGAGAGAGAGAGAGAGAGAGAGAGAGAGGGAGGAGAGAGAGAGAGAGAGAGCAGAATTGGTACTGGACAACTCCTGCACGCTCCAAGCAACTACTGTAGCTTTCATGAATTTAGGGGATGCCTTCGTCTCTGTTGTTTCCGTTGTCTGAGTCCCATGCTGGCATTGTCCCTCTCACGGACTGCCCTTTCAGGAGCCTTCTCCACAACGCTGGCCACTTGGGCTGGCAAGTCCTCCTCAAGCAAGCTGCCCAAAGACGTAAGTCAAGTGCTTAAGCGCGCGTGAGCATTATGAATGCAGCGAAGCTCGGACTGACAAAGTTGCTTTGGACAACTCAAAATTCTGGGGATATTCGAGATGTATGCGAAACTCAAAATTCTGGGTGCCTGTGACAGGGCCTGGAGTTCGCCAGGCAGTGCGTAAGGTATGGCCGCTCCCTGGCGCCGCCTGGCTCAAGAGATATGAGAGAGCTTGCTTTCTATCCTTCTATAGGTTCCTCGAACGGTTCCGAGGGGACTTGTCCAGTTCTTTTTGGTTTCGCCTTTCTGCCAGCGTCATGGCACAGGCGAACTCGCCGAAGCGGAGGCGCCCGTCACCATCTACATCCTCGGCCGTAAAACCATGCAGCGTCAAAACGTGAGGACCATGTGCTGCTGAGCTTCTGAGAGGGTCCAAATCTGCGAGAGGTCTGAACGTGGCAGCTGCGACCTGCCAATTGCTTGCAAAGTCTCACATCTGTACTGGATGTTCAAGTAGGGTGGGGCGACATGTGCCAGCAACAAAGATGCTTTGTCCGAAATAAGCAGGTTAAGTTGGACGTCGTGAAGTAAACGCACCGATTGTTGATGAAGCTGGGTTCCCGGGTTAGACTATCGACTATCCTTCACGGCGGGCTGAGAGGGACTGCAGCTCGTCTTTATGACAAAGTGTTGAATCGTGCTGAATCCGGACATCTGCAGGATAAGACCACATCACTCTACATCCCTTGTATGCAGCTTGTATGTGCGGGATCTTGCTTGCCTCTCCAGAATCTGTCCAGCCTGATTGTCACAACACGATGGCAACACGAAGTCAACACACCGGGCGATACTTTCTATCAGATTCGATCAAGCACATCCAGCCTCAGCCGCGGCAAGGAACCCACCATCCCGTGGAGCAGAGAGAAAGAGCTGTCGAAGCCCTTCCGCTCAGAAAGCGCAGCGCAGGAGCGAAAGATCATCGGCGTAGCACAACAGTTGCCGCGACATGAACATGTGTGGCACTCGCTTGGCAAGTATGGCCAGCCAGCTTCAGCCTTCAACTTCTTCAGGCGTGACTTCCCAGGAGACCTCGGCCAACCTCGACCAAGAGCTGCAAGTTTCTGCGGCACGTAGAGTACTGTAACAGCCATACTAGCATAGCGCATGCAGATGGTACAAGGGAGGGGGTTATCACACATCAGGCCGTGAAAATACACATCACCCCAATGTGGACGCTCATGCAAAGAATTACCCATCACGCGAGAGAATACACATCACAAGATACGAAACCCCAATGTGGACGCTATTTTTGGCTGTCAGCCACGGAGACCTCAAAATCCACCCAACCTCGCGGACGCTTATGTTTCGGGCCATTTTACATCAATCTGGCATACGTTTTGGCAGCAAATCCCGAAGGAGACGCTCGGTTTGTATCAACATACGGAACGTTGATCTTCGAAGCCTTTACTGGCCTTACACACCTGAGACCCGCAGCTGCTCAAGTGCACGCTGCCTGCTGCATGTGTCTGGCGGACCAAACCCTGCGACCGAGACCGGTTTTGACATAGAAAAAGTGCATTAGACCAGCTAGCACGGAAACGTCCTGCCAAGTGCCTTAAACAAACTTGAAGCCGTGGTGGCAGCTTGGATCAGTGCCAAGTCTTGTCCAAAATGCAAACCCAATGTGGAGATTTGACGCAGGCGCTTCCTCCGACCATGGGCATGGGGTGGTTTGCATGCCAGACCCCATTGTGGACGCTGCATAGGCTGAAAACTGGACGGCTAGGATCAGTGCCGGGTCCTGTGCGGGACCTGCAAGACCCCAGTGTGGACGCCGAACGATGTGTTTTTACACCACGCGATGTGAGATAACCCCCCCCCAGTAGCGGAGCCTAGTAGGCCAATGTGAAAACGAAGATGCTCGCATGTGCTTACAATACTCTTGCAAGAAACCGGCTGGGTCCGCCACTGCGAAGCGCTTCGAAAAAGTGACGACCTCAATGCCCTAAACTTGCTCACGTGGCTTTCCGCATCGGGCCCCTTTCTAGGACTCTCCACTACAGCGTGCTGCAGGTGCTGGAACCTACAAGGGCTACAGTGGCACAGCCGCAGGCAACAGCGCTGACACAGGGAGCGCACGGCAGGAAAGGCGGGAGCTCTGCACCTGAGCCGGGTGTTAACGTGCAAGACGGTTTGCGCGAATTACTCCTGAAGCCGCTGGTTTGGCCAACATACTGCCTCTGAGCATATGAAATCACCAGCTTACTTGTAACTTGTAAGCATCTTCTGTCCTCCTACGCCGATGGCAGGAATGGCCTTGGCTTCGGCGGTCCACCAGCGTAGCGGCAACAGCGAACCTGGGTTTCAGGATGCCTTTGGTCCGGCGCCTTTTGTTCTAAAGGGGTTTGGGGATTGGAACGTATTGCAGTATTGCAGTACCGTACCTGACACGGCTGTTCTATGTTGTTCTGAAAAGCAGCTGAAAACGAGTACACCATAGTCTAGTGACCGCAGCATGCCATGGTGCACAAGCTTGGATGTGTCACTGACGTGCAACACCCTTCCCCAAGTCCGGCTATTTGTCGATGCCTCGTCGCATCCGCTCACTGGCACTTCAACTAACTGACAAAAGCTGGCGAGTGCAGCGTAAAGATGCCGGAGTGGTGAATATGGGTGAACAGGCCACGCAGGTCAGCTGAGACATCCTCCGAGCTGCCTGAAACTCGCTGGGCTCACGAAGCCATCGAGCCGCAAAGCCAGAACTTCCTGAACCCTATAGGCCTGTAGCGCAGCGCCTTCGAGCCACATGCAAAGGCGAAGGGCCGCGCATCATGAACCATGAGCCATCATGAGCCATCATGAGCCTCGCAAGCCTTGCCAGCCTTGCTGGCTGAGAGCACCAGCACAAGGAGAAGAAAGTCTTTGACGAGTTGAACTCGATGAGCTGCAGGGCCGACGGTGGTCCGGTGCCACATGCAGCTCACAAGGCTTGGCAGCTGGTTTGCCAAGTCGCTGCAGTCTTCGCTGCACTGCCTAGAGGCAGGATGAGATGCTGTCCTGTGCAGCATCACTTTGAAACTTGGGTCTCCAGGATGGACCTGGAGGCCCTCTATGCAGAGTCATTCGTCTTGAAGACGATGGCGCTCACGGTACTCCATACCGTTATAAGCTACAACATGTTACATCAAAATCACAGCCGGTCGGCCAATTAGGTTGCAGGAGTTCCTTCTGGAACTTTCAGACCTCCGTGGCAGTGGGCTTCTCTGTGGCAGCCGCGGCTGGGGCACTTGTCAGAAGCGTCGGGGCCTCCTCGGGCTTGAAGCGCTGGGAGTGCTCGCCGAAAGCGTTGGGCTTGCCCGAGTTCTCGTTCTTGCCGTAGGCAACCTTCAAAGAACAGGACCCGATTCTACAACAGGTTGAGTTCAGGACTCTCAAAACTCAAAAAGGCACCAGGAACTTACCCGCCACAGGCCTCGGAGTGGCAGTGGAGATCCACACCTACCAGCTAGCAGCTACCCGGATCAGGAACGGTGAAGGTTCAAGAGCTTCAGCATTCTGCATGCTCGAGCTAGCAACGACACGCTTGCAAACATCGCTTCGCCTTCCAGCTCCTGCTCCTCGCTGACCCTCATGCGCATCACGAGGCGCATGAGGAAGAAGATCACCGCCGTGATGGCTGCGGAGTAGACAACGCCGAAAGCGGCGCCGGCGAGGTTCTTCACCAGCAGCATTCCATCGTTGCCGTAGATCAAGCCATCCCCAGAATCGAAGAAGCCGCCAAGGATGGCGCCCGCAAAGCCTCCGACTCCGTGGAGGCTGAAGCAGTCCAGCGAGTCGTCCACGAGGTTCAGCCTCTTCAGCCCACGAGCGGCGAAGATGCAGCACAGGGCACCAATAGCCCCAACCTCAGCATGCTGCCCCCCCCTTGCCCTCATTCCACAGGCTTTGCATTTTCTCTGTCTCCTAGCCGGTCCTAGCCATCTTCCGCTTTGATTCAACCTGTCTCTATTCTTAATATTCCTATGAGCCTATCAGCTCTCCCACTGCTCTTCGAGTAGCCCCCAGAGCACCCAGAGGCTCCACGAAGCCGGCGCACGGGGTGATGTTCACCTTGATTTGGGGCACGAACTTGGAACGAAAGCTGTCACTTGCATGGCCTGTACACATGTCATGCATGTCTTGGCCATGTCCGGCTAAGTCGCAAGTCCCGCCACCGCGCCGGACATGGCACCGACGGACGTGGGGGCCCCGTCCAGGATGCGCTCCACCGTGATCCAAGTGATCATGGCCGCAGCCGCCGCGATGTACGTGGTTGCCACAGCCAAGGCGCAGTCTCCGTTGGCGGCGAAGGCGGATCCGCCGTTGAAGCCGGTCCATCCAAGCCACAGGATGCCGCCGCCCAAAATGACGAAGGGCAGGTTGCTGGGAAAGGACTCCGCTCGGTGCTTGCGCTCACCCAGAAGCGACGCGAGCGCAAAGGCTGAAGTACCCGAGCTGATGTGGACCACTGTGCCGCCAGCAAAGTCCTCCCAGAGGACTGCAGCATCTGTCGTTGAAGACAGCAGCCCTACTCACAACCCACCTTCAGCCTTCTCCCCCCCCCCCCACCCGCGCCACTTTATTGATCTTTGTTGGACGTCCTTGGCGCCCATCTCGGCGATCCAGCCGCCGCCCCAGATCCAGTGGCACAGGGGCACGTACACCGCAAGGACCCAGACGACGATGAAAATGGCATACGCCGAAAACCCTGCACACGCATCGGGTCGAACATATGCCCAAACTGTCCCAAACTGCATGGTGCCTAGAGTGCTGATTGATTCTACGTTTAGAAAGCATCCGAAAAGCCGAGAAGCGAATGCGCTCCACCACAGCGCCCGAAATGATCGCCGCAGCAATGATGGCCTGGGCCATTGGTCGGGGCTAGAATAGAAGGATTTGAAACAAGTCCTCGCGGTCTACCTGTATACCTGATCTTGCCTGATGCCTCCTGATGCCCGTATCCAACCGAGTAGCGAAGGTCATCTGGAAGACGGCGAAGGTTAAGCCTCTCGGCGAGGGGTGCCCCAAAAGGGGCGGGGGGGAGGGGGGGGGTGGTGGGGAATCATGATCTGTCGCTTGCCCAGAACTCCTAGGCCTGGCATGGTGGTGTCGGGCCAGACCTTGTCCAGATGACGGAAGCCGACGTACGTGAAGCCCTTGCCTGCACCCCACTCGTCGAAGGACCAGCTGAAGCCTAACACCAGCCACGTGATGGTCGTGAGTCCCATCGAGATGATGGACCTAAACTCTCAGCGTCTCATGCGTCTCTCAACATCTCTCTCAACTGTTCGCAGATCTTTCTCAAGCGTTGGGCTGCTGTTGCTTCTTGGCTGTCGGCAAACATGCCGAGCAACATCATCATGGTGTTCACGATGTTGCTGTCGCGGACTAAACCTCCATAGAAGAAGGCTAGCCCGGGTGTCATGAAGAGAACCAGCGCACAGGACATGGCCATCCATGCGGTGTCGCCATTGTTGAGGCCCTCCATCCCTTCGACCAAGCTGATGCTAGTGCAGGTTACCGTGCAGCGCCTTCGAGCCACATGCAAAGGCGAAGGGCCCCCTCATCATGAACCATGAGCCATCATGAGCCATCATGAGCCTCGCAAGCCTTGCCAGCCTTGCTGGCTGAGAGCACCAGCACAAGGAGAAGAAAGTCTTTGACGAGTTGAACTCGATGAGCTGCAGGGCCGACGGTGGTCCGGTGCCACATGCAGCTCACAAGGCTTGGCAGCTGGTTTGCCAAGTCGCTGCAGTCTTCGCTGCACTGCCTAGAGGCAGGATGAGATGCTGTCCTGTGCAGCATCACTTTGAAACTTGGGTCTCCAGGATGGACCTGGAGGCCCTCTATGCAGAGTCATTCGTCTTGAAGACGATGGCGCTCACGGTACTCCATACCGTTATAAGCTACAACATGTTACATCAAAATCACAGCCGGTCGGCCAATTAGGTTGCAGGAGTTCCTTCTGGAACTTTCAGACCTCCGTGGCAGTGGGCTTCTCTGTGGCAGCCGCGGCTGGGGCACTTGTCAGAAGCGTCGGGGCCTCCTCGGGCTTGAAGCGCTGGGAGTGCTCGCCGAAAGCGTTGGGCTTGCCCGAGTTCTCGTTCTTGCCGTAGGCAACCTTCAAAGAACAGGACCCGATTCTACAACAGGTTGAGTTCAGGACTCTCAAAACTCAAAAAGGCACCAGGAACTTACCCGCCACAGGCCTCGGAGTGGCAGTGGAGATCCACACCTACCAGCTAGCAGCTACCCGGATCAGGAACGGTGAAGGTTCAAGAGCTTCAGCATTCTGCATGCTCGAGCTAGCAACGACACGCTTGCAAACATCGCTTCGCCTTCCAGCTCCTGCTCCTCGCTGACCCTCATGCGCATCACGAGGCGCATGAGGAAGAAGATCACCGCCGTGATGGCTGCGGAGTAGACAACGCCGAAAACGGCGCCGGCGAGGTTCTTCACAAGCAGCATTCCATCGTTGCCGTAGATCAAGCCATCCCCAGAATCGAAGAAGCCGCCAAGGATGGCGCCCGCAAAGCCTCCGACTCCGTGGAGGCTGAAGCAGTCCAGCGAGTCGTCCACAAGGTTCAGCTTCTTCAGCCCGCGAGCGGCGAAGATGCAACACAGGGCACCAATAGCCCCAACCTCAGCACGCTGCCCCCCCCCTGCCCTCATTCCACAGACCTTGCATGACCTTCCGCTCTTGTCGGGTCTGCTCTGTCTCCTAGCCGGTCCTAACCATCTTCCGCTTTGATTCAACCTGTCTCTATTCCTATGAGCCTATCAGCTCTCCCACTGCTCTTCGAGTAGCCCCCAGAGCACCCAGAGGCTCCACGAAGCCGGCGCACGGGGTGATGTTCACCTTGATTTGGGGTACGAACTTGGAACGAAAGCTGTCACTTGCATGGCCTGTACACATGTCATGCATGTCTTGGCCATGTCCGGCTACGTCGCAAGTCCCGCCACCGCGCCGGACATGGCACCGACGGACGTGGGGGCCCCGTCCAGGATGCGCTCCACCGTGATCCAAGTGATCATGGCCGCAGCCGCCGCGATGTACGTGGTTGCCACAGCCAAGGCGCAGTCTCCGTTGGCGGCGAAGGCGGATCCGCCGTTGAAGCCGGTCCATCCAAGCCACAGGATGCCGCCGCCCAAAATGACGAAGGGCAGGTTGCTGGGAAAGGACTCCGCTCGGTGCTTGCGCTCACCCAGAAGCGACGCGAGCGCAAAGGCTGAAGTACCCGAGCTGATGTGGACCACTGTGCCGCCAGCAAAGTCCTCCCAGAGGACTGCAGCATCTGTCGTTGAAGACAGCAGCCCTACTCACAACCCACCTTCAGCCTTCCCCCCCCCGCCCCACCCGCGCCACTTTATTGATCTTTGTTGGACGTCCTTGGCGCCCATCTCGGCGATCCAGCCGCCGCCCCAGATCCAGTGGCACAGGGGCACGTACACCGCAAGGACCCAGACGACGATGAAAATGGCATACGCCGAAAACCCTGCACACGCATCGGGTCGAACATATGCCCAAACTGTCCCAAACTGCATGGTGCCTAGAGTGCTGATTGATTCTACGTTTAGAAAGCATCCGAAAAGCCGAGAAGCGAATGCGCTCCACCACAGCGCCCGAAATGATCGCCGCAGCAATGATGGCCTGGGCCATTGGTCGGGGCTAGAATAGAAGGATTTGAAACAAGTCCTCGCGGTCTACCTGTATACCTGATCTTGCCTGATGCCTCCTGATGCCCGTATCCAACCGAGTAGCGAAGGTCATCTGGAAGACGGCGAAGGTTAAGCCTCTCGGCGAGGTGTGCCCCAAAAGGGGCGGGGGGGAGGGGGGGGTGGTGGGGGGAATCATGATCTGTCGCTTGCCGAGAACTCCTAGGCCTGGCATGGTGGTGTCGGGCCAGACCTTGTCCAGATGACGGAAGCCGACGTACGTGAAGCCCTTGTCTGCACCCCACTCGTCGAAGGACCAGCTGAAGCCGAACACCAGCCACGTGATGGTCGTGAGTCCCATCGAGATGATGGACCTAAACTCTCAGCGTCTCATGCGTCTCTCAACATCTCTCTCAACTGTTCGCAGATCTTTCTCAAGCGTTTGGCTGCTGTTGCTTTTTGGCTGTCGGCAAACATGCCGAGCAACATCATCATGGTGTTCACGACGTTGCTGTCGCGGACTAAACCTCCATAGAAGAAGGCTAGCCCGGGCTTCACTGGCTCTGTATCTGCGCGCAACCTAAACCCGTAGGTGGCTCGAGGCAGCACGTGAAAAGGAAACCGTGCTCAGCAAGCACAGGAAAGAAACAAAGCGAAGGCTCGCCACATATAGCCCCAGGGCGCCCCAGAACAAAGACACAGCTGCAACGGTACTGCTCACAAGTGAAAAGGCTAGAAAACTAGACCCCAAAACCCCCAAGGCCTAAAGGGGGGGAAAAGAAAAAACCCAACCAAGAACCCTAAGGGGAAAAAGGAAGGTAAGCGAAACCCTTAATCACCTTAGTCGCGCAGCGCGCTGACCTGCAGTGAAAGCGTGAAGCAAAGGCTGCTCTAAGGAACAATGCGGCCATGAGGAGCATGAAAGGTGTACCAAGTAACTTCAAGGATTGCAACTGCGAGTTTGCAAGTGGCAAACTGCATCTGCTCACGTCTCAAGGGAAGCGGAGAAGCATCGAAAGTGACGAAACCCGTCTTGGGCGTACAACGAGGCTGCGTAGAAAACCAGGCAGCGTCGAGACCAAACTCGCGCATGAGACTAGCGCGCATGTCATGGAAACGAGAACAAGAGACCCAAAAGACAATAAAGGAACAGGATCATTGCAGAAAGGGCAAGGGCCAGAGGCGAGCTGGTGACGCCTCGTGGGAGTGTAAACAGCACCACCACGGTAGACACGGAGGAGCAAGCCTTGGAAGGTGGACACGCCATCCCTCCAACGAACAAATCTAAAGCTGGCAGAAGAAGTAGCGTGAAGATCGGAGTCAAGAAGGCCCTCGCAGTCGAAGCGAGCGTCAGACGCTTGACGGAGACACTGGAGGCGAGCGATCGCCCGAAGGCCATGCTGCCTCCTGGGGGAAGCAGGGTTTAGGGCCAAGCGATCTTAAACATGCTCGCGGCAAGGTTGCAACTAGTTGCAACAGGCGACGCTCCAAGGAGCCGGGAGAGGCGTCCAACAAAAGCAAGGAGCCATGCCAAGCAACAACCCTCAACTGGAGAACATCGCAGTAGGCTTGCGTAGCAGGCCTCGCAGCGCAGGCGTGGCAGCGGCAATCTGCAAGGCGGCGACAGCGGCGCCAAACACAGGGTGAAGATCAATGCGGTCGACCAGAAACGGCCACGACGCCACCAAGTACAAGGCTTGGAAAGCGTGTTTGGCCAAAGCTTGCGGTGGCGGTTCAAGGTAAGGCAAACACCACGGGATGACCGAAGGCGCAACACCAAGTTGACGCAGCGCAGAAGCAGCAACCCGACAGCGACGGGTCTGCACTCATCAGCTTCATGGGGCCGGGTTTTTTTTCCTTTTTTTTTTTCTCTCGTCAGTTTTCTTTCTTGTTTTTCCGTTTTTTGGTCGGTTAGGGTTTAGGGTTTAGGGTTTAGGGTTTAGGGTATAGGGTATAGGGTATAGGGTTTAGGGTTTAGGGTTTGGGGTTTGGGGTTTGGGGTTTAGGGTTTGAGGTTTGGGGTTTGGGGTTTGGGGTTTGGAGTTTGGGGTTTAGGGTTTACGGTTTAGGGTTTAGGGTTTAAGGGTTTAAGGGTTTCAGGGTTTCGGGTTTAGGGTTTAGCGCTGCGCAGCGGCAGTAAGTGCCATGTGTAAATGGCGCCCCTACACACCCAGGGGGCGTGGGGGGGCGGCATGTCACGCGAAAGCGTCTGTTGTCAATGTAATCCAACAATTTCATTGGCGCTGAGTTCTTTCTCCCCGCCCGCTGTGAGCTTTCACAGGCCACCACCCAAACCACTGCCTTTTAGGGTTTAGGGCTGTCCTCAATTCCCACCGTTGCTTTCCCTACAAAGGTGTGGTGAAGGTAGCGGGGCGGGGGGTCAGAACACAGGAGGGCTAGAAGCTGGGAGCAGTTGAGGGGGCAGGGTCGAGGGGGGCGGCGTCCAGCGTGGTGGACTTCTGAGGGCTCGGGTCCTTGGTGTTAGGGTGTTCTGATCAAGAGAGGATCAGAGGACCCTTGTTAAATATGGGCGCCACTCTGGCGGCCCAGTGGCAAGGCGAGCCCTAGGGGCTCTCTATTCGACCAGTCGCCAATGGCTCCATCACTGCCGGGCATCTTCTGGGTCCAGGCGCCCTAGAAAAGGGCGGGTACGGCCTAAGCAGGCCGGAGGCCGGACGGGAATTTAGGGTTTAGGGTTTAGGGTTTAGGGTTTAGGGCTTGGAAAGCAACGGAAAAAATAAGCAAAAAACACCGCCACCGCTTCACGCTTGGGCACAGCAGCCAACCTCCAAGACAAGAGAGTTTGCCAGGCAGGACCAGAAAGAGGTTGAGAAGCAGCAGTGGCGTCGCGGAGGATGCTAAAGAGCTCATCCAGAAGGGAAGGAACGTATCTTAAAAGCCAGTCCAACCATCAAGGCCCAAGGCCAGGAGCCCCGCGGGCAGCGCTAACAGCATGAAGAAAATCTTGCTTTGCAGGAACAACAGCAGGGCTTGAGGATACTCGAGAGCCTTGCTATTTAGAGGAGCGCAGTCCACGGACAAAAGGTTTTCTTGCGACGCTTCAGGGGATCCGCAGCAGTCGTGTTACCAGGGCCTAGTCACTCGGCCAAACTTTTGTTGCGCTTGAACTTTTTGACCGCGTGCCAGCGCCGGCGAGTGGCCTCAGCAGACTGAGAAGGAGAGGCCTTCTTGGCTTTGCGCCATTGCTAGGTCTTTTGCCTGCCGTAGAAAGCAGCTTGAAAGGTGAGCTGAGAAGAGACCTCACCCGGCTGTTGAGGGCAGGGGGTTGAGTTTGAATTCGCTGAAAGCAATGGTTCGACTGCAGCGCGTGCAAGGGTAGAGAAAGCTGGGGCTCTTAGCCCGACGCGTAGGAGCAGTTAAGTCAACGTTGCACATGGCTTTGGCAACGTGGGCTTTGTGCTTCGCAAAGGCTCTCGCAACTTTCTTTTTGGAGCTCATGTACTCAGGAGTAGGTGAAGGGGCATCAGAACCCTGGCACTGTTTCAAATGCTTGTTTGCAACTTCGCGGGTGCTCTTTTTGGCTTTCGAGGTGTCCCCTCGTAACGGCGGCCGCCAGCCACAAGGACAAGCGTACGGACACAAGGGGTCCGGCACGGTTGGTTTGGCAGCACCGTGAAAGAGGACTCGGGCAACCTTTAAGGGCCTTAGGCGTGTTGAAGGGCACCAAAGCGGGGCGCGGGGGCAGACTCTAAACCCAAAATGCGAGAAGCACTAGAAGAACCCTTGGGCTCGCAAGAAGAGGCGGGAGTTAAGCAAAGAAGGACCAAGAGGACTTTCTGGTTCGCGGTGTGGCAGCGGCAGGCGAAGATTTCTCAAGAGCGAGGATGTCACAAGCGCGGCGTTTGGCAGGGGCAGGGCTGTCGCCAGAGCGTCCTGCTCCTTTAGAGGAAAAACACTTAGGCTTAAGGAACTCGTAGCGCAGTTGGTAGAGCCTGAGGTAGACAACCTGAGGGTTCTTCTGCTTCTTTGGACGAGGGTCAAGCGCATAAAATTCCCGGGCGTCTACCAGGGACCAAGCCCAGACACGCAACTCGGCGTCGCGGCCTGAGCTAAGGCTCCCAAACTAACGGAATCAGCCCATTCGCCTGCCAATGCGCTCGGCGATGGGTTGAGCATCTTCCGGCGCGTAGGTGCCAGGAGGAGCCCTCGCCAGTTCGCGAGAACTCAAGACTCGAAGCTGGGCCGTCGAGGCGGCCTTTGGGCAGAAAGTCGTCATCAGACGCTTGGCTAGTAGCGCCATGGGCGTGAGCCATAGCTTGTGCAATAGCGATGTAGGCGCAGTCACCTTTACCAGCGTTCTCACTTGTTTCGAAATGACCAGTAAAGGGGCCCTCAGTAGGGCTTGCATTCTTAGGGCGCTTTTTAGCAGGACGAGTGACTAGTGTCCGAAGCTAGACTGGCTTTAGTGCCATTAGAGTCCTCCACTTCTTCCCCACCAAAGCCCATTTGCGTGGGGCCAGGAGAATCAGAGGGAGGATCTTCAGCAAGAACTGGGCCTTGTGGAGCACTCCAAGTAGTGCAAGGAGGCGCTTTAACCTCAGGGGTTTTGCGCGCCTAGCATGTGCGCGCATGGCAGAAACCTCAGTAAAACCAGGTTCGCTGGCCCACGCCAGCAGGTTGTCCTCACCCCAGAGAGGGGTCGCGCCGGCGAGAAACCAGCAGCGAGCAAGAGTGCCTTGCGTGGTGGCACAACCAACCAAAACCAAGGGCGCAGTTGTGGATGGGCGGTAGACCAGGCGTGCTTTCGCTTGCTTGGCAAGGGAAAGGGCTTTATTGAAGTAGACATTGGCGGGCTTATTCTTTTCGCAAGTGATTCACTGAGGAACTGCATCAGAGCGGTGATATCCGCAGAAGCTCTGCAGGTAAGTTGATGCTGAGAGAAGTCTCAAGTTTGGAAATAGGAATTTTGCCAAGGCATGTGACCTCAGTGGGATAGGCCACCGCAGCACGAGTCTGGAGCACATCCTTGCGATGCTCGCTAATCAGCAAGGCGGGGAGCAAGCGGGGAGAGCTCGTTGCCTTGACGAACAAAGGAGGTGCAAAGCCTTTAGCAAGTGTGAGGCGACACAAGCACTTGTCGCTGACAGCAGCCTGGGTCGTCCTTTAAGCCTTTGGGCAGCGCAACTTGCGAGGGAGGGGAGTCACCGAAGGTGTCAAAAACGGCGGGGTGAGGCTTGCTACCAGCCGGTCCGTGAACAAGAACAGTGCGTGAGTTTTGGGAAGGCTTGCCGTCACCACTCAGGGTGACCACAGTGACGTTCGATGCAGCACAGGGCCGTTAAGGATCGGCCCACTTGTTCTAGAGCATCGTCGGAAAGGCATGGAAAGGCCTACGAAGAGGAACCAAGTCACTGTAGGAGTAAAGCAGTATCTCTTGACTGCTTCGAAGCTTGTGGTTCTCCAAAAGCAAGAACACAATCAGCTGCCCCAATTGTCCTGGGGCGCCCTGGGGCTATATGTGGCGAGCCTTCGCCTTGTTTCTTGCCTGTGCTTGCTGAGCACGGTTTCCTTTTCACGTGCTGCCTCTAACCACCTACGGGTTTAGGTTGTGCGCAGATACAGAGCCAGTGACACCCGGGCTAGCCTTCTTCTATGGAGGTTTAGTCCGCGACTTTCTCAAACGTTTGACTGCTGTTGCTTCTTGGCTGTCGGCAAACATGCCGAGCAACATCATCATGGTGTTCACGATGTTGCTGTCGCGGACTAAACCTCCATAGAAGAAGGCTAGCCCGGGTGTCATGAAGAGAACCAGCGCACAGGACATGGCCATCCATGCGGTGTCGCCATTGTTGAGGCCCTCCATCCCTTCGACCAAGCTGATGCTAGTGCAGGTTACCGTGCAGCGCCTTCGAGCCACATGCAAAGGCGAAGGGCCCCCTCATCATGAACCATGAGCCATCATGAGCCATCATGAGCCTCGCAAGCCTTGCCAGCCTTGCTGGCTGAGAGCACCAGCACAAGGAGAAGAAAGTCTTTGACGAGTTGAACTCGATGAGCTGCAGGGCCGACGGTGGTCCGGTGCCACATGCAGCTCACAAGGCTTGGCAGCTAGTTTGCCAAGTCGCTGCAGTCTTCGCTGCACTGCCTAGAGGCAGGATGAGATGCTGTCCTGTGCAGCATCACTTTGAAACTTGGGTCTCCAGGATGGACCTGGAGGCCCTCTATGCAGAGTCATTCGTCTTGAAGACGATGGCGCTCACGGTACTCCATACCGTTATAAGCTACAACATGTTACATCAAAATCACAGCCGGTCGGCCAATTAGGTTGCAGGAGTTCCTTCTGGAACTTTCAGACCTCCGTGGCAGTGGGCTTCTCTGTGGCAGCCGCGGCTGGGGCACTTGTCAGAAGCGTCGGGGCCTCCTCGGGCTTGAAGCGCTGGGAGTGCTCGCCGAAAGCGTTGGGCTTGCCCGAGTTCTCGTTCTTGCCGTAGGCAACCTTCAAAGAACAGGACCCGATTCTACAGCAGGTTGAGTTCAGGACTCTCAAAACTCAAAAAGGCACCAGGAACTTACCCGCCACAGGCCTCGGAGTGGCAGTGGAGATCCACACCTACCAGCTAGCAGCTACCCGGATCAGGAACGGTGAAGGTTCAAGAGCTTCAGCATTCTGCATGCTCGAGCTAGCAACGACACGCTTGCAAACATCGCTTCGCCTTCCAGCTCCTGCTCCTCGCTGACCCTCATGCGCATCACGAGGCGCATGAGGAAGAAGATCACCGCCGTGACCCCTGCGGAGTAGACAACGCCGAAAGCGGCGCCGGCGAGGTTCTTCACCAGCAGCATTCCATCGTTGCCGTAGATCAAGCCATCCCCAGAATCGAAGAAGCCGCCAAGGATGGCGCCCGCAAAGCCTCCGACTCCGTGGAGGCTGAAGCAGTCCAGCGAGTCGTCCACAAGGTTCAGCCTCTTCAGCCCGCGAGCTGCGAAGATGCAGCACAGGGCGCCAATAGCCCCAACCTCAGCACGCTGCCCCCCCCTGCCCTCATTCCACAGGCTTTGCATTTTCTCTGTCTCCTAGCCGGTCCTAGCCATCTTCCGCTTTGATTCAACCTGTCTCTATTCCTATGAGCCTATCAGCTCTCCCACTGCTCTTCGAGTAGCCCCCAGAGCACCCAGAGGCTCCACGAAGCCGGCGCACGGGGTGATGTTCACCTTGATTTGGGGCACGAGCGTGGAACGAAAGCTGTCACTGGCATGGCCTGTACACATGTCATGCATGTCTTGAAGGCCATGTCCGGCTAAGTCGCAAGTCCCGCCACCGCGCCGGACATGGCACCGACGGACGTGGGGGCCCCGTCCAGGATGCGCTCCACCGTGATCCAAGTGATCATGGCCGCAGCCGCCGCGATGTACGTGGTTGCCACAGCCAAGGCGCAGTCTCCGTTGGCGGCGAAGGCGGATCCGCCGTTGAAGCCGGTCCATCCAAGCCACAGGATGCCGCCGCCCAAAATGACGAAGGGCAGGTTGCTGGGAAAGGACTCCGCTCGGTGCTTGCGCTCACCCAGAAGCGACGCGAGCGCAAAGGCTGAAGTACCCGAGCTGATGTGGACCACTGTGCCGCCAGCAAAGTCCTCCCAGAGGACTGCAGCATCTGTCGTTGAAGACAGCAGCCCTACTCACAACCCACCTTCAGCCTTCCCCCCCCCCCCCACCCGTGCCACTTTATTGATCTTTGTTGGACGTCCTTGGCGCCCATCTCGGCGATCCAGCCGCCGCCCCAGATCCAGTGGCACAGGGGCACGTACACCGCAAGGACCCAGACGACGATGAAAATGGCATACGCCGAGAACCCTGCACACGCATCGGGTCGAACACATGCCCAAACTGTCCCAAACTGCATGGTGCCTAGAGTGCTGATTGATTCTACGTTTAGAAAGCATCCGAAAAGCCGAGAAGCGAATGCGCTCCACCACAGCGCCCGAAATGATCGCCGCAGCAATGATGGCCTGGGCCATTGGTCGGGGCTAGAATAGAAGGATTTGAAACAAGTCCTCGCGGTCTACCTGTATACCTGATCTTGCCTGATGCCTCCTGATGCCCGTATCCAACCGAGTAGCGAAGGTCATCTGGAAGACGGCGAAGGTTAAGCCTCTCGGCGAGGGGTGCCCCAAAAGGGGCGGGGGGGAGGGGGGGGGTGGTGGGGAATCATGATCTGTCGCTTGCCCAGAACTCCTAGGCCTGGCATGGTGGTGTCGGGCCAGACCTTGTCCAGATGACGGAAGCCGACGTACGTGAAGCCCTTGCCTGCACCCCACTCGTCGAAGGACCAGCTGAAGCCGAACACCAGCCACGTGATGGTCGTGAGTCCCATCGAGATGATGGACCTAAACTCTCAGCGTCTCATGCGTCGCTCAACATCTCTCTCAACTGTTCGCAGATCTTTCTCAAGCGTTTGGCTGCTGTTGCTTCTTGGCTGTCGGCAAACATGCCGAGCAACATCATCATGGTGTTCACGATGTTGCTGTCTCGGACTAAACCTCCATAGAAGAAGGCTAGCCCGGGTGTCATGAAGAGAACCAGCGCACAGGACATGGCCATCCATGCGTGTCGCCATTGTTGAGGCCCTCCATCCCTTCGACCAAGCTGATGCTAGTGCAGGTTACCGTGCAGCGCCTTCGAGCCACATGCAAAGGCGAAGGGCCCCGCATCATGAACCATGAGCCATCATGAGCCATCATGAGCCTCGCAAGCCTTGCCAGCCTTGCTGGCTGAGAGCACCAGCACAAGGAGAAGAAAGTCTTTGACGAGTTGAACTCGATGAGCTGCAGGGCCGACGGTGGTCCGGTGCCACATGCAGCTCACAAGGCTTGGCAGCTAGTTTGCCAAGTCGCTGCAGTCTTCGCTGCACTGCCTAGAGGCAGGATGAGATGCTGTCCTGTGCAGCATCACTTTGAAACTTGGGTCTCCAGGATGGACCTGGAGGCCCTCTATGCAGAGTCATTCGTCTTGAAGACGATGGCGCTCACGGTACTCCATACCGTTATAAGCTACAACATGTTACATCAAAATCACAGCCGGTCGGCCAATTAGGTTGCAGGAGTTCCTTCTGGAACTTTCAGACCTCCGTGGCAGTGGGCTTCTCTGTGGCAGCCGCGGCTGGGGCACTTGTCAGAAGCGTCGGGGCCTCCTCGGGCTTGAAGCGCTGGGAGTGCTCGCCGAAAGCGTTGGGCTTGCCCGAGTTCTCGTTCTTGCCGTAGGCAACCTTCAAAGAACAGGACCCGATTCTACAACAGGTTGAGTTCAGGACTCTCAAAACTCAAAAAGGCACCAGGAACTTACCCGCCACAGGCCTCGGAGTGGCAGTGGAGATCCACACCTACCAGCTAGCAGCTACCCGGATCAGGAACGGTGAAGGTTCAAGAGCTTCAGCATTCTGCATGCTCGAGCTAGCAACGACACGCTTGCAAACATCGCTTCGCCTTCCAGCTCCTGCTCCTCGCTGACCCTCATGCGCATCACGAGGCGCATGAGGAAGAAGATCACCGCCGTGATGGCTGCGGAGTAGACAACGCCGAAAGCGGCGCCGGCGAGGTTCTTCACCAGCAGCATTCCATCGTTGCCGTAGATCAAGCCATCCCCAGAATCGAAGAAGCCGCCAAGGATGGCGCCCGCAAAGCCTCCGACTCCGTGGAGGCTGAAGCAGTCCAGCGAGTCGTCCACGAGGTTCAGCCTCTTCAGCCCACGAGCTGCGAAGATGCAGCACAGGGCGCCAATAGCCCCAACCTCAGCACGCTGCCCCCCCCTGCCCTCATTCCACAGGCTTTGCATTTTCTCTGTCTCCTAGCCGGTCCTAGCCATCTTCCGCTTTGATTCAACCTGTCTCTATTCCTATGAGCCTATCAGCTCTCCCACTGCTCTTCGAGTAGCCCCCAGAGCACCCAGAGGCTCCACGAAGCCGGCGCACGGGGTGATGTTCACCTTGATTTGGGGCACGAACTTGGAACGAAAGCTGTCACTTGCATGGCCTGTACACATGTCATGCATGTCTTGGCCATGTCCGGCTAAGTCGCAAGTCCCGCCACCGCGCCGGACATGGCACCGACGGACGTGGGGGCCCCGTCCAGGATGCGCTCCACCGTGATCCAAGTGATCATGGCCGCAGCCGCCGCGATGTACGTGGTTGCCACAGCCAAGGCGCAGTCTCCGTTGGCAGCGAAGGCGGATCCGCCGTTGAAGCCGGTCCATCCAAGCCACAGGATGCCGCCGCCCAAAATGACGAAGGGCAGGTTGCTGGGAAAGGACTCCGCTCGGTGCTTGCGCTCACCCAGAAGCGACGCGAGCGCAAAGGCTGAAGTACCCGAGCTGATGTGGACCACTGTGCCGCCAGCAAAGTCCTCCCAGAGGACTGCAGCATCTGTCGCTGAAGACAGCAGCCCTACTCACAACCCACCTTCAGCCTTCCCCCCCCCCCACCCGTGCCACTTTATTGATCTTTGTTGGACGTCCTTGGCGCCCATCTCGGCGATCCAGCCGCCGCCCCAGATCCAGTGGCACAGGGGCACGTACACCGCAAGGACCCAGACGACGATGAAAATGGCATACGCCGAGAACCCTGCACACGCATCGGGTCGAACATATGCCCAAACTGTCCCAAACTGCATGGTGCCTAGAGTGCTGATTGATTCTACGTTTAGAAAGCATCCGAAAAGCCGAGAAGCGAATGCGCTCCACCACAGCGCCCGAAATGATCGCCGCAGCAATGATGGCCTGGGCCATTGGTCGGGGCTAGAATAGAAGGATTTGAAACAAGTCCTCGCGGTCTACCTGTATACCTGATCTTGCCTGATGCCTCCTGATGCCCGTATCCAACCGAGTAGCGAAGGTCATCTGGAAGACGGCGAAGGTTAAGCCTCTCGGCGAGGGGGTGCCCCAAAAGGGGCGGGGGGGAGGGGGGGGGTGGTGGGGAATCATGATCTGTCGCTTGCCCAGAACTCCTAGGCCTGGCATGGTGGTGTCGGGCCAGACCTTGTCCAGATGACGGAAGCCGACGTACGTGAAGCCCTTGCCTGCACCCCACTCGTCGAAGGACCAGCTGAAGCCGAACACCAGCCACGTGATGGTCGTGAGTCCCATCGAGATGATGGACCTAAACTCTCAGCGTCTCATGCGTCTCTCAACATCTCTCTCAACTGTTCGCAGATCTTTCTCAAGCGTTTGGCTGCTGTTGCTTCTTGGCTGTCGGCAAACATGCCGAGCAACATCATCATGGTGTTCACGATGTTGCTGTCGCGGACTAAACCTCCATAGAAGAAGGCTAGCCCGGGTGTCATGAAGAGAACCAGCGCACAGGACATGGCCATCCATGCGGTGTCGCCATTGTTGAGGCCCTCCATCCCTTCGACCAAGCTGATGCTAGTGCAGGTTACCGTGCAGCACCTTCGAGCCACATGCAAAGGCGAAGGGCCCCCTCATCATGAACCATGAGCCATCATGAGCCATCATGAGCCTCGCAAGCCTTGCCAGCCTTGCTGGCTGAGAGCACCAGCACAAGGAGAAGAAAGTCTTTGACGAGTTGAACTCGATGAGCTGCAGGGCCGACGGTGGTCCGGTGCCACATGCAGCTCACAAGGCTTGGCAGCTAGTTTGCCAAGTCGCTGCAGTCTTCGCTGCACTGCCTAGAGGCAGGATGAGATGCTGTCCTGTGCAGCATCACTTTGAAACTTGGGTCTCCAGGATGGACCTGGAGGCCCTCTATGCAGAGTCATTCGTCTTGAAGACGATGGCGCTCACGGTACTCCATACCGTTATAAGCTACAACATGTTACATCAAAATCACAGCCGGTCGGCCAATTAGGTTGCAGGAGTTCCTTCTGGAACTTTCAGACCTCCGTGGCAGTGGGCTTCTCTGTGGCAGCCGCGGCTGGGGCACTTGTCAGAAGCGTCGGGGCCTCCTCGGGCTTGAAGCGCTGGGAGTGCTCGCCGAAAGCGTTGGGCTTGCCCGAGTTCTCGTTCTTGCCGTAGGCAACCTTCAAAGAACAGGACCCGATTCTACAACAGGTTGAGTTCAGGACTCTCAAAACTCAAAAAGGCACCAGGAACTTACCCGCCACAGGCCTCGGAGTGGCAGTGGAGATCCACACCTACCAGCTAGCAGCTACCCGGATCAGGAACGGTGAAGGTTCAAGAGCTTCAGCATTCTGCATGCTCGAGCTAGCAACGACACGCTTGCAAACATCGCTTCGCCTTCCAGCTCCTGCTCCTCGCTGACCCTCATGCGCATCACGAGGCGCATGAGGAAGAAGATCACCGCCGTGATGGCTGCGGAGTAGACAACGCCGAAAACGGCGCCGGCGAGGTTCTTCACAAGCAGCATTCCATCGTTGCCGTAGATCAAGCCATCCCCAGAATCGAAGAAGCCGCCAAGGATGGCGCCCGCAAAGCCTCCGACTCCGTGGAGGCTGAAGCAGTCCAGCGAGTCGTCCACAAGGTTCAGCCTCTTCAGCCCGCGAGCGGCGAAGATGCAGCACAGGGCACCAATAGCCCCAACCTCAGCACGCTGCCCCCCCCTGCCCTCATTCCACAGGCTTTGCATTTTCTCTGTCTCCTAGCCGGTCCTAGCCATCTTCCGCTTTGATTCAACCTGTCTCTATTCCTATGAGCCTATCAGCTCTCCCACTGCTCTTCGAGTAGCCCCCAGAGCACCCAGAGGCTCCACGAAGCCGGCGCACGGGGTGATGTTCACCTTGATTTGGGGTACGAACTTGGAACGAAAGCTGTCACTTGCATGGCCTGTACACATGTCATGCATGTCTTGGCCATGTCCGGCTAAGTCGCAAGTCCCGCCACCGCGCCGGACATGGCACCGACGGACGTGGGGGCCCCGTCCAGGATGCGCTCCACCGTGATCCAAGTGATCATGGCCGCAGCCGCCGCGATGTACGTGGTTGCCACAGCCAAGGCGCAGTCTCCGTTGGCGGCGAAGGCGGATCCGCCGTTGAAGCCGGTCCATCCAAGCCACAGGATGCCGCCGCCCAAAATGACGAAGGGCAGGTTGCTGGGAAAGGACTCCGCTCGGTGCTTGCGCTCACCCAGAAGCGACGCGAGCGCAAAGGCTGAAGTACCCGAGCTGATGTGGACCACTGTGCCGCCAGCAAAGTCCTCCCAGAGGACTGCAGCATCTGTCGTTGAAGACAGCAGCCCTACTCACAACCCACCTTCAGCCTTCCCCCCCCCCCCCACCCGCGCCACTTTATTGATCTTTGTTGGACGTCCTTGGCGCCCATCTCGGCGATCCAGCCGCCGCCCCAGATCCAGTGGCACAGGGGCACGTACACCGCAAGGACCCAGACGACGATGAAAATGGCATACGCCGAGAACCCTGCACACGCATCGGGTCGAACACATGCCCAAACTGTCCCAAACTGCATGGTGCCTAGAGTGCTGATTGATTCTACGTTTAGAAAGCATCCGAAAAGCCGAGAAGCGAATGCGCTCCACCACAGCGCCCGAAATGATCGCCGCAGCAATGATGGCCTGGGCCATTGGTCGGGGCTAGAATAGAAGGATTTGAAACAAGTCCTCGCGGTCTACCTGTATACCTGATCTTGCCTGATGCCTCCTGATGCCCGTATCCAACCGAGTAGCGAAGGTCATCTGGAAGACGGCGAAGGTTAAGCCTCTCGGCGAGGGGGTGCCCCAAAAGGGGCGGGGGGGAGGGGGGGGGGGGTGGTGGGGAATCATGATCTGTCGCTTGCCCAGAACTCCTAGGCCTGGCATGGTGGTGTCGGGCCAGACCTTGTCCAGATGACGGAAGCCGACGTACGTGAAGCCCTTGCCTGCACCCCACTCGTCGAAGGACCAGCTGAAGCCGAACACCAGCCACGTGATGGTCGTGAGTCCCATCGAGATGATGGACCTAAACTCTCAGCGTCTCATGCGTCTCTCAACATCTCTCTCAACTGTTCGCAGATCTTTCTCAAGCGTTGGGCTGCTGTTGCTTCTTGGCTGTCGGCAAACATGCCGAGCAACATCATCATGGTGTTCACGATGTTGCTGTCGCGGACTAAACCTCCATAGAAGAAGGCTAGCCCGGGTGTCATGAAGAGAACCAGCGCACAGGACATGGCCATCCATGCGGTGTCGCCATTGTTGAGGCCCTCCATCCCTTCGACCAAGCTGATGCTAGTGCAGGTTACCGTGCAGCGCCTTCGAGCCACATGCAAAGGCGAAGGGCCCCCTCATCATGAACCATGAGCCATCATGAGCCATCATGAGCCTCGCAAGCCTTGCCAGCCTTGCTGGCTGAGAGCACCAGCACAAGGAGAAGAAAGTCTTTGACGAGTTGAACTCGATGAGCTGCAGGGCCGACGGTGGTCCGGTGCCACATGCAGCTCACAAGGCTTGGCAGCTAGTTTGCCAAGTCGCTGCAGTCTTCGCTGCACTGCCTAGAGGCAGGATGAGATGCTGTCCTGTGCAGCATCACTTTGAAACTTGGGTCTCCAGGATGGACCTGGAGGCCCTCTATGCAGAGTCATTCGTCTTGAAGACGATGGCGCTCACGGTACTCCATACCGTTATAAGCTACAACATGTTACATCAAAATCACAGCCGGTCGGCCAATTAGGTTGCAGGAGTTCCTTCTGGAACTTTCAGACCTCCGTGGCAGTGGGCTTCTCTGTGGCAGCCGCGGCTGGGGCACTTGTCAGAAGCGTCGGGGCCTCCTCGGGCTTGAAGCGCTGGGAGTGCTCGCCGAAAGCGTTGGGCTTGCCCGAGTTCTCGTTCTTGCCGTAGGCAACCTTCAAAGAACAGGACCCGATTCTACAGCAGGTTGAGTTCAGGACTCTCAAAACTCAAAAAGGCACCAGGAACTTACCCGCCACAGGCCTCGGAGTGGCAGTGGAGATCCACACCTACCAGCTAGCAGCTACCCGGATCAGGAACGGTGAAGGTTCAAGAGCTTCAGCATTCTGCATGCTCGAGCTAGCAACGACACGCTTGCAAACATCGCTTCGCCTTCCAGCTCCTGCTCCTCGCTGACCCTCATGCGCATCACGAGGCGCATGAGGAAGAAGATCACCGCCGTGACCCCTGCGGAGTAGACAACGCCGAAAGCGGCGCCGGCGAGGTTCTTCACCAGCAGCATTCCATCGTTGCCGTAGATCAAGCCATCCCCAGAATCGAAGAAGCCGCCAAGGATGGCGCCCGCAAAGCCTCCGACTCCGTGGAGGCTGAAGCAGTCCAGCGAGTCGTCCACAAGGTTCAGCCTCTTCAGCCCACGAGCGGCGAAGATGCAGCACAGGGCACCAATAGCCCCAACCTCAGCATGCTGCCCCCCCCTGCCCTCATTCCACAGACTTTGCATTTTCTCTGTCTCCTAGCCGGTCCTAGCCATCTTCCGCTTTGATTCAACCTGTCTCTATTCCTAATATTCCTATGAGCCTATCAGCTCTCCCACTGCTCTTCGAGTAGCCCCCAGAGCACCCAGAGGCTCCACGAAGCCGGCGCACGGGGTGATGTTCACCTTGATTTGGGGCACGAACTTGGAACGAAAGCTGTCACTGGCATGGCCTGTACACATGTCATGCATGTCTTGGCCATGTCCGGCTAAGTCGCAAGTCCCGCCACCGCGCCGGACATGGCACCGACGGAGGTGGGGGCCCCGTCCAGGATGCGCTCCACCGTGATCCAAGTGATCATGGCCGCAGCCGCCGCGATGTACGTGGTTGCCACAGCCAAAGCGCAGTCTCCGTTGGCGGCGAAGGCGGATCCGCCGTTGAAGCCGGTCCATCCAAGCCACAGGATGCCGCCGCCCAAAATGACGAAGGGCAGGTTGCTGGGAAAGGACTCCGCTCGGTGCTTGCGCTCGCCCAGAAGCGACGCGAGCGCAAAGGCTGAAGTACCCGAGCTGATGTGGACCACTGTGCCGCCAGCAAAGTCCTCCCAGAGGACTGCAGCATCTGTCGCTGAAACAGCAGCCCTACTCACAACCCAGCTTCAGCCTTCCCCCCCCCCCACCCGTGCCACTTTATTGATCTTTGTTGGACGTCCTTGGCGCCCATCTCGGCGATCCAGCCGCCGCCCCAGATCCAGTGGCACAGGGGCACGTACACCGCAAGGACCCAGACGACGATGAAAATGGCATACGCCGAGAACCCTGCACACGCATCGGGTCGAACATATGCCCAAACTGTCCCACACTGCATGGTGCCTATGAAGAATCCCGTATTATCTTGACAGGTGAGCAAAGGGCCGTGCATATTATTCCTAGAGGTGAAGCTAAAATGAATCCTGTAGACGCGGGTGTCATTATCAAGGGGGAATTAGTGAACGAATCTCCCAAGAGAAAAAGATAGCGGTTTATCTTCTCGGGATAGAAGTAAAAGAGAGTTCGTTTCTCAGGCTTTTAGTGTTGGAATGCATGATTTAATATTAGAATCTTGTGCACAGCGTGTTTGGATTAATATTTGAATTCAATTGTAAACGAGAGCATCTTTAACTTTCTAGAATGTGGAAATGAGGCAGTGAATGAGTGGGCGAAGCGCCCCTAAAATATATTTCAATGTGGGATTCTTTGTGGGTTTCTTTCTCGTTTCTCTTCTTGGTATTTTATTATGAGATTATGAGAATGAATGAGAGCAAGTAGTATGAAGTGCTGATTGATTCTACGTTTAGAAAGCATCCGAAAAGCCGAGAAGCGAATGCGCTCCACCACAGCGCCCGAAATGATCGCCGCAGCAATGATGGCCTGGGCCATTGGTCGGGGCTAGAATAGAAGGATTTGAAACAAGTCCTCGCGGTCTACCTGTATACCTGATCTTGCCTGATGCCTCCTGATGCCCGTATCCAACCGAGTAGCGAAGGTCATCTGGAAGACGGCGAAGGTTAAGCCTCTCGGCGAGGGGTGCCCCAAAAGGGGCGGGGGGGAGGGGGGGGGTGGTGGGGGGAATCATGATCTGTCGCTTGCCGAGAACTCCTAGGCCTGGCATGGTGGTGTCGGGCCAGACCTTGTCCAGATGACGGAAGCCGACGTACGTGAAGCCCTTGCCTGCACCCCACTCGTCGAAGGACCAGCTGAAGCCGAACACCAGCCACGTGATGGTCGTGAGTCCCATCGAGATGATGGACCTAAACTCTCAGCGTCTCATGCGTCGCTCAACATCTCTCTCAACTGTTCGCAGATCTTTCTCAAGCGTTTGGCTGCTGTTGCTTCTTGGCTGTCGGCAAACATGCCGAGCAACATCATCATGGTGTTCACGATGTTGCTGTCGCGGACTAAACCTCCATAGAAGAAGGCTAGCCCGGGTGTCATGAAGAGAACCAGCGCACAGGACATGGCCATCCATGCGGTGTCGCCATTGTTGAGGCCCTCCATCCCTTCGACCAAGCTGATGCTAGTGCAGGTTACCGCGCAGCGCCTTCGAGCCACATGCAAAGGCGAAGGGCCCCCTCATCATGAACCATGAGCCATCATGAGCCATCATGAGCCTCGCAAGCCTTGCCAGCCTTGCTGGCTGAGAGCACCAGCACAAGGAGAAGAAAGTCTTTGACGAGTTGAACTCGATGAGCTGCAGGGCCGACGGTGGTCCGGTGCCACATGCAGCTCACAAGGCTTGGCAGCTAGTTTGCCAAGTCGCTGCAGTCTTCGCTGCACTGCCTAGAGGCAGGATGAGATGCTGTCCTGTGCAGCATCACTTTGAAACTTGGGTCTCCAGGATGGACCTGGAGGCCCTCTATGCAGAGTCATTCGTCTTGAAGACGATGGCGCTCACGGTACTCCATACCGTTATAAGCTACAACATGTTACATCAAAATCACAGCCGGTCGGCCAATTAGGTTGCAGGAGTTCCTTCTGGAACTTTCAGACCTCCGTGGCAGTGGGCTTCTCTGTGGCAGCCGCGGCTGGGGCACTTGTCAGAAGCGTCGGGGCCTCCTCGGGCTTGAAGCGCTGGGAGTGCTCGCCGAAAGCGTTGGGCTTGCCCGAGTTCTCGTTCTTGCCGTAGGCAACCTTCAAAGAACAGGACCCGATTCTACAACAGGTTGAGTTCAGGACTCTCAAAACTCAAAAAGGCACCAGGAACTTACCCGCCACAGGCCTCGGAGTGGCAGTGGAGATCCACACCTACCAGCTTCAGCATTCTGCATGCTCGAGCTAGCAACGACACGCTTGCAAACATCGCTTCGCCTTCCAGCTCCTGCTCCTCGCTGACCCTCATGCGCATCACGAGGCGCATGAGGAAGAAGATCACCGCCGTGACCCCTGCGGAGTAGACAACGCCGAAAGCGGCGCCGGCGAGGTTCTTCACCAGCAGCATTCCATCGTTGCCGTAGATCAAGCCATCCCCAGAATCGAAGAAGCCGCCAAGGATGGCGCCCGCAAAGCCTCCGACTCCGTGGAGGCTGAAGCAGTCCAGCGAGTCGTCCACAAGGTTCAGCCTCTTCAGCCCACGAGCGGCGAAGATGCAGCACAGGGCACCAATAGCCCCAACCTCAGCATGCTGCCCCCCCCTGCCCTCATTCCACAGACTTTGCATTTTCTCTGTCTCCTAGCCGGTCCTAGCCATCTTCCGCTTTGATTCAACCTGTCTCTATTCCTAATATTCCTATGAGCCTATCAGCTCTCCCACTGCTCTTCGAGTAGCCCCCAGAGCACCCAGAGGCTCCACGAAGCCGGCGCACGGGGTGATGTTCACCTTGATTTGGGGTACGAGCGTGGAACGAAAGCTGTCACTTGCATGGCCTGTACACATGTCATGCATGTCTTGAAGGCCATGTCCGGCTAAGTCGCAAGTCCCGCCACCGCGCCGGACATGGCACCGACGGACGTGGGGGCCCCGTCCAGGATGCGCTCCACCGTGATCCAAGTGATCATGGCCGCAGCCGCCGCGATGTACGTGGTTGCCACAGCCAAGGCGCAGTCTCCGTTGGCGGCGAAGGCGGATCCGCCGTTGAAGCCGGTCCATCCAAGCCACAGGATGCCGCCGCCCAAAATGACGAAGGGCAGGTTGCTGGGAAAGGACTCCGCTCGGTGCTTGCGCTCGCCCAGAAGCGACGCGAGCGCAAAGGCTGAAGTACCCGAGCTGATGTGGACCACTGTGCCGCCAGCAAAGTCCTCCCAGAGGACTGCAGCATCTGTCGTTGAAGACAGCAGCCCTACTCACAACCCACCTTCAGCCTTCCCCCCCCCGCCCCACCCGCGCCACTTTATTGATCTTTGTTGGACGTCCTTGGCGCCCATCTCGGCGATCCAGCCGCCGCCCCAGATCCAGTGGCACAGGGGCACGTACACCGCAAGGACCCAGACGACGATGAAAATGGCATACGCCGAGAACCCTGCACACGCATACGCCGAGAACCCTGCACACGCATCGGGTCGAACATAGAGTGCTGATTGATTCTACGTTTAGAAAGCATCCGAAAAGCCGAGAAGCGAATGCGCTCCACCACAGCGCCCGAAATGATCGCCGCAGCAATGATGGCCTGGGCCATTGGTCGGGGCTAGAATAGAAGGATTTGAAACAAGTCCTCGCGGTCTACCTGTATACCTGATCTTGCCTGATGCCTCCTGATGCCCGTATCCAACCGAGTAGCGAAGGTCATCTGGAAGACGGCGAAGGTTAAGCCTCTCGGCGAGGGGTGCCCCAAAAGGGGCGGGGGGGAGGGGGGGGGTGGTGGGGAATCATGATCTGTCGCTTGCCCAGAACTCCTAGGCCTGGCATGGTGGTGTCGGGCCAGACCTTGTCCAGATGACGGAAGCCGACGTACGTGAAGCCCTTGCCTGCACCCCACTCGTCGAAGGACCAGCTGAAGCCGAACACCAGCCACGTGATGGTCGTGAGTCCCATCGAGATGATGGACCTAAACTCTCAGCGTCTCATGCGTCTCTCAACATCTCTCTCAACTGTTCGCAGATCTTTCTCAAGCGTTGGGCTGCTGTTGCTTCTTGGCTGTCGGCAAACATGCCGAGCAACATCATCATGGTGTTCACGATGTTGCTGTCGCGGACTAAACCTCCATAGAAGAAGGCTAGCCCGGGTGTCATGAAGAGAACCAGCGCACAGGACATGGCCATCCATGCGGTGTCGCCATTGTTGAGGCCCTCCATCCCTTCGACCAAGCTGATGCTAGTGCAGGTTACCGTGCAGCGCCTTCGAGCCACATGCAAAGGCGAAGGGCCCCCTCATCATGAACCATGAGCCATCATGAGCCATCATGAGCCTCGCAAGCCTTGCCAGCCTTGCTGGCTGAGAGCACCAGCACAAGGAGAAGAAAGTCTTTGACGAGTTGAACTCGATGAGCTGCAGGGCCGACGGTGGTCCGGTGCCACATGCAGCTCACAAGGCTTGGCAGCTAGTTTGCCAAGTCGCTGCAGTCTTCGCTGCACTGCCTAGAGGCAGGATGAGATGCTGTCCTGTGCAGCATCACTTTGAAACTTGGGTCTCCAGGATGGACCTGGAGGCCCTCTATGCAGAGTCATTCGTCTTGAAGACGATGGCGCTCACGGTACTCCATACCGTTATAAGCTACAACATGTTACATCAAAATCACAGCCGGTCGGCCAATTAGGTTGCAGGAGTTCCTTCTGGAACTTTCAGACCTCCGTGGCAGTGGGCTTCTCTGTGGCAGCCGCGGCTGGGGCACTTGTCAGAAGCGTCGGGGCCTCCTCGGGCTTGAAGCGCTGGGAGTGCTCGCCGAAAGCGTTGGGCTTGCCCGAGTTCTCGTTCTTGCCGTAGGCAACCTTCAAAGAACAGGACCCGATTCTACAGCAGGTTGAGTTCAGGACTCTCAAAACTCAAAAGGCACCAGGAACTTACCCGCCACAGGCCTCGGAGTGGCAGTGGAGATCCACACCTACCAGCTAGCAGCTACCCGGATCAGGAACGGTGAAGGTTCAAGAGCTTCAGCATTCTGCATGCTCGAGCTAGCAACGACACGCTTGCAAACATCGCTTCGCCTTCCAGCTCCTGCTCCTCGCTGACCCTCATGCGCATCACGAGGCGCATGAGGAAGAAGATCACCGCCGTGACCCCTGCGGAGTAGACAACGCCGAAAGCGGCGCCGGCGAGGTTCTTCGCCAGCAGCATTCCATCGTTGCCGTAGATCAAGCCATCCCCAGAATCGAAGAAGCCGCCAAGGATGGCGCCCGCAAAGCCTCCGACTCCGTGGAGGCTGAAGCAGTCCAGCGAGTCGTCCACAAGGTTCAGCCTCTTCAGCCCGCGAGCTGCGAAGATGCAGCACAGGGCACCAATAGCCCCAACCTCAGCACGCTGCCCCCCCCTTGCCCTCATTCCACAGGCTTTGCATTTTCTCTGTCTCCTAGCCGGTCCTAGCCATCTTCCGCTTTGATTCAACCTGTCTCTATTCCTATGAGCCTATCAGCTCTCCCACTGCTCTTCGAGTAGCCCCCAGAGCACCCAGAGGCTCCACGAAGCCGGCGCACGGGGTGATGTTCACCTTGATTTGGGGCACGAACTTGGAACGAAAGCTGTCACTGGCATGGCCTGTACACATGTCATGCATGTCTTGAAGGCCATGTCCGGCTAAGTCGCAAGTCCCGCCACCGCGCCGGACATGGCACCGACGGACGTGGGGGCCCCGTCCAGGATGCGCTCCACCGTGATCCAAGTGATCATGGCCGCAGCCGCCGCGATGTACGTGGTTGCCACAGCCAAGGCGCAGTCTCCGTTGGCAGCGAAGGCGGATCCGCCGTTGAAGCCGGTCCATCCAAGCCACAGGATGCCGCCGCCCAAAATGACGAAGGGCAGGTTGCTGGGAAAGGACTCCGCTCGGTGCTTGCGCTCACCCAGAAGCGACGCGAGCGCAAAGGCTGAAGTACCCGAGCTGATGTGGACCACTGTGCCGCCAGCAAAGTCCTCCCAGAGGACTGCAGCATCTGTCGCTGAAGACAGCAGCCCTACTCACAACCCAGCTTCAGCCTTCCCCCCCCCCCCCACCCGTGCCACTTTATTGATCTTTGTTGGACGTCCTTGGCGCCCATCTCGGCGATCCAGCCGCCGCCCCAGATCCAGTGGCACAGGGGCACGTACACCGCAAGGACCCAGACGACGATGAAAATGGCATACGCCGAGAACCCTGCACACGCATCGGGTCGAACACACCCAAACTGTCCCAAACTGCATGGTGCCTAGAGTGCTGATTGATTCTACGTTTAGAAAGCATCCGAAAAGCCGAGAAGCGAATGCGCTCCACCACAGCGCCCGAAATGATCGCCGCAGCAATGATGGCCTGGGCCATTGGTCGGGGCTAGAATAGAAGGATTTGGAACAAGTCCTCGCGGTCTACCTGTATACCTGATCTTGCCTGATGCCTCCTGATGCCCGTATCCAACCGAGTAGCGAAGGTCATCTGGAAGACGGCGAAGGTTAAGCCTCTCGGCGAGGGTGCCCCAAAAGGGGCGGGGGGGAGGGGGGGGGTGGTGGGGAATCATGATCTGTCGCTTGCCCAGAACTCCTAGGCCTGGCATGGTGGTGTCGGGCCAGACCTTGTCCAAATGACGGAAGCCGACGTACGTGAAGCCCTTGCCTGCACCCCACTCGTCGAAGGACCAGCTGAAGCCGAACACCAGCCACGTGATGGTCGTGAGTCCCATCGAGATGATGGACCTAAACTCTCAGCGTCTCATGCGGCTCTCAACATCTCTCTCAACTGTTCGCAGATCTTTCTCAAGCGTTTGGCTGCTGTTGCTTCTTGGCTGTCGGCAAACATGCCGAGCAACATCATCATGGTGTTCACGATGTTGCTGTCGCGGACTAAACCTCCATAGAAGAAGGCTAGCCCGGGTGTCATGAAGAGAACCAGCGCACAGGACATGGCCATCCATGCGGTGTCGCCATTGTTGAGGCCCTCCATCCCTTCCACCAAGCTGATGCTAGTGCAGGTTACCGTGCAGCGCCTTCGAGCCACGTGCAAACGCAAGAAGCCGAACCGATTCAAGGTGGTGATCCCTGCAAGCTTAAACCTTCAGCACCAGCACTGCTTGCGGTTGCATGAGATCCGCCGAGGCCGGAGGCCTGAGGCGTTTAGCTCCAGGTCTAAGGAACCTTTCATAGTTGTACCCACCCCCTACCCCCTTCCAGGGCGCACGGGCCTGCCGCGCGGCCGAGTTTTTTAGCGCGGAACCACCCACCCCGAGTGGGGGGAGGGGGAGAGGGTGAGGGGAAGGGGGGGAGGGGGGCGGCCCCCCACCCCGGCATCTTCCCCACTTCTCGTGAACCCTCAATTCGCCTCGGTACCCTTGCCGAGGCGGCTTCGCGTTAGCGGTTAAATTACATGCAGAAGGCTTCCGGAGTCACACGTTGATCATTTCGCAGGGACGGGACGGTTATTGTCTTCAGATGTAAAAAAGGTCACCCAAGGGCTGAGCTCTGTCAGGGACAAGCGCCCATCGCGGCCTGACGGCCGTAATTTGGTAGCTATGGAAATAATTCGTGGCCCGCAATAGCCCGCAGAAAGCATGAAAGATATTTATGACAACTGCGGTGCTGCACGAACCGGAACTTGTCCCCTCGCAAACTCCGACAGAAGCAATTGGCGCAGCGGCCACCTGCATCTGCTAAGGCCCAGATCTGTGCGAGATCCACAGGCAGAAGCCTTAGAATGGCCATGCCACGCCATGCCCGAAGTCAGCTGTAAATGCAGGAAGGCATCCCTTCAAGAATCTGCCTGATTTCTTAGAAGGGGTTGAGCAGCCCCGTTCTCTGCAAAACCACAGACAAGTTTGGTGGAGGACTTGTAAGAAATTCGCACATCAGGCTGCTCTAGGCCTGATGCCCAGAATGATCGAAGTGACTCCGAGCGTCAGCTCCCTCAACGAAGCCATCCTGGCAGGAAAAAATGCCGGGAGACCCCACAAACTGCGTTCGGCACCTCCACTCTACGAGCGCTCTCGGTGCTGCGCTTTACTTTCGCCGTTAAATGGAGGGATGTCACGCAGGCCTGATTGAAGTCCAGCTGTGCCTGAGTTGTGCGCACTCTGGACTGACGTGGTGTTGGGCGGTTGCAGGTTTTCAAGTACGTCGGTCGCTTCTGCTGTAGCATGGCCATGGCACAAAAGTCGCAGCATAGTCTCTGAAGGCGAGCCCATCCACCTCCCATGGGCCTGCACAAAACGACCGAATAATCAGAAGAGTCTCAAAAGCCAGGGGGATGAAACGACTGCCTCCTGGAGGTTCGTCAGGAATGCTGGGACCTCCGGATTTGACGCTGGCATTCGCAATTCCATAACTAGCGGATCGAGCGGAATTACATCCCCCACACACACACACACACACACACACACACACACACACACACACACACACACACACACACACACACACACACACACACACACACACACACACACAACTATGCAAATTATGCAACTGTTTGTTTGGACTTGTGACTTGTCGTTCCGTGCACGGGCTGGGTGCACATTTCTGCATGGATGCCAGCCAGAGCCAGCGAACAAGCAAGCACACATGCATGCATGCATAAATTCTACAACAGAGCATGCAAGCAAGAGAGTGCTTGGAAGCACGCATAATGGCAATCCTACGCGAGCGCAGGCAAGAACCGGCGCACGTGCCTTTGCAATTGCTAGCAATATTTCTTAGGCAAGCCCACGCAGAGCATTGTGGATTGCGAGGTGTGGGTCGGAGAGCTGAAGCCAAACGTCCGGTTTGGCAGGCGGCAGCCTGGCAGCGACTGAGGTGGGACACCACTTCATCACACTATCCGCCACGCTAGGTGGCTGGGCGAAAAGTTGTGCTAACTCCACCTCCGGGCAGCATACGGATCGGCATCGACTGCCGGCAGGAAACCGCCCACGACCGCACTGGCCCCCCACAGGTTGGCTGCCCCGTGAGACCCAAAGCCTCCGGTCGACAGCTGCGCAGGTCGTACTGGGGTGCATGGCGTTCCGCCTTGAAGTCACAAGGTTTGCCTGATTGACGAAACCGGCGTCCCGAAATGTCGGCAGTGCCCGTCGGCAGGCCACGCAACCAAAGCCGCCCTAGCTTTCACCGGAATGCGTGTTGTTGGTGCGCGCCAATGCCGAGCGGGGCTGTGGTACGCAAATCGGCATCTAAGGCAAAGAGGCAACTGAAAAACTTGGAGCTTGATTCGGGCTATAGATGTTGCTACTACGAGTACCTACATGCACGTGTCATCGTGCTGTTTTCAAACGAGTAGTACCGCCGGCCCCCGTGTTGGTTCGTCCACCAAAAAACACAAACGGCGCACGCTAGGACTGCTAGGACACAGCACCTCAATGCCTGGCAACGCCTCAGACTCCGGCTGGCAGTCTCACTGGCAGCCTCTGGCATGCTGCGCACATGATCTAAGCTATGGGCTCTTTCTGGCACGCTGGGAGTATCGACCCCAAGTCACTCCATAAATTTATGTGAATCTTGGGGTTCCGGAGTCACTTAGTTGAAAAAAGCCTGGTCCGCAAAGCTGAGCCAATGTTGTTGATGGCTTCCTAGAATCTGGAGCTCTGCTGTTAAGAAGTTAAGAACTTTTTGGGGTCTGGGAGTATCCTAGTACAGTGCACAGCAATCGCAGTAGTTTGCGCACTATTCAAGAGTCGCTATTATAAGTTTGAGATGCACCACTGAATGCATAAAAAATTGGGGGGGGGGGGGGGGGCAGAGCTCCTGCATCGCCCAGCCAAAGTCTGCAACCGCAGCTCCCGGGCTGGCCTCAGGCAACTCGGGCAGCTCCAAAGGGCTCACAAGTCGTAAGTCTGCAAAAGGATCTGGGGCCTACTGATCTAGCTGAATCTAGCAAAAACACGCTAAAACCACACCCAAACCAAGAAAGCTCCCAAGACATTCAAGATTCAAGAGCACTTCAAAGGACAGGAGGCACCCGTTTGCTGGACATGTTGGTACGGTAACTGTCGCTCTAGTGGGTCAGCATGCAATACCAGTCGGATCCCCGATCTTCTGTGGCCTGCTTGACAAACAAGTGCGAAGGACAAAGGCCGCGAGCATCTACACATTCTTGGAAGGCGTGCGAGAAAAACCCGAGAAAGATCGATGCCCAGAGCTTGAAGCAGCCAGCTGTTCCTTCCTTTTCCCTGGCTGCTTGCCTATCCCTCAAGAAATGTGCACCTTCAAAAGCGCATTGGGTCGCACGACTGCGAGCAAAACTCTTTCATCTGCAGATCCTTTCGAAGATCTGCCGCTGTAGACTATCTAGTGTTAAGTTAAACGGAAAACGCAGCAGCTCAGCGCTGCTTGATCTGCGGCCCGCCGAAGGTCTTCTCGATGTTTCCAAGGGCGACGTCCCAGTTCACCTTGCTGAAGAGCTCGTCCACGTTGCTCTGCTGCGCCACGAGAAGGGCGCGCTTGCCGTACGGGACGGACTTGAAAAGCTCCAGAGCCAGACCTCCGGGGCTCATTTCCGCAGCAAGCCAGACCCAGCCCTTGCCATCGTCCTCGACCTTCTGGGTCTCGTCGACGCCGTAGCCGACGCCTCCCTTGGTCACGAACATGGGGTTCTTCATCTGTGCGATCAAGCCCTGCACTCCCACGGCAATGTCCTTCTTGCCAATGTTGCCCGGGGGTGGGCCCTTCCACAGGCCGGAGTAGCGCTTGAAGCCCTGAGGCGTAAACTCGCCGTGGAAGAACTTCCTGGGTTGGACGCTCGACAGCTACGCACCAACAACTTGCTCGGCAACTTCTTCATGACTCAAATGATTCATGGTTCCACCAACTTCCCTCCAACCAATAAAGGCGAAGGTCAAAATCAAATTTCAGCTCAGTTGCACAACCAGCTCGGAGAGCACGGTGCCCTTAGGCGGGTCACCGCCATTTCCCGTCAACAGTGACTGGTAGAAAGTCTGGATGTCCGCATCACCTCTAGACCAGAGAGAAGGAGGGAGGGAGGGAGAGAGAGCGAGAGTGCGAGCGCGAGAGAGGCAGAGAGGAGAGAGAGTGAGGGGAAGGGAGGGAACGACAAAGAGAGAGAAGGAGAGGGAGACGGGGAAACTGGGACAGGCGGGGTGGGTTGAGATGTCTGCGTCAATCCCAAACAGGTCACGAGGGTCAGCAAATGTCTGCAATGTCTCCCGACCAAGCTGCTGATGTCGAACTCGCCGCCGCCTCGGGCTGCCAGCGCCACGGCACTGTGGCGACGGAGCCTGTGGCATGCCCAGGATATCGTATGCTAGGAGAACCGCACAGCAGCAACTGGCAGTGCCACATACCGCCGCATCATGTCGCAGATCTGCGCATGCCACCGAGCTGCGGAGGGCTGGGGGTGGCCGGGGCAGTCACGAAGGCGACGAACCGCGTGGCAGTGAAGGCCGCGCAAGCCAGCACGGCTGACCTGGGCTCCGCGCGTAACGCCAGTGCGTGCACCGTTCCCCTTCACAGCCTTCACATCTGTGCACCATCGGCCGCCCTTTCCCCATCCTTGATTTGCTGGCAAGCTGCACAAGAAGGCGACTGGACATGGCTCTGAGACCACTGCTGCACTGATGGAGCCCGTATGCTGCAAGCTGCAAGTCGTCTGCCGTGTCACCAGGGATGCTAACACCCTGGTCCTGAGGTACTACACTAACAAAAACAGCATCAAGAAATGGGATCTGTCCAATCTCAGGGACTGAGGGACTTGGCGACCGAAACCAAAGACGGAGCTTGCAGCAGCCAGCTGTTCCTTCCTTTTCCCTGGCTGCTTGCCTATCCCTCAAGAAATGTGCACCTTCAAAAGCGCATTGGGTCGCACGACTGCGAGCAAAACTCTTTCATCTGCAGATCCTCTCAAAGATCTGCCGCTTCAGACTATCTAGTGCTTAAGTTAAACGGAAAACGCAGCAGCTCAGCGCTGCTTGATCTGCGGCCCTCCGAAGGTCTTCTCGATGTTTCCAAGGGCGACGTCCCAGTTCACCTTGCTGAAGAGCTCGTCCACGTTGCTCTGCTGCGCCACGAGAAGGGCGCGCTTGCCGTACGGGACGGACTTGAAAAGCTCCAGAGCCAGACCTCCGGGGCTCATTTCCGCAGCAAGCCAGACCCAGCCCTTGCCATCGTCCTCGACCTTCTGGGTCTCGTCGACGCCGTAGCCGACGCCTCCCTTGGTCACGAACATGGGGTTCTTCATCTGTGCGATCAAGCCCTGCACTCCCACGGCAATGTCCTTCTTGCCAATGTTGCCCGGGGGTGGGCCCTTCCACAGGCCGGAGTAGCGCTTGAAGCCCTGAGGCGTAAACTCGCCGTGGAAGAACTTCCTGGGTTGGACGCTCGACAGCTACGCACCAACAACTTGCTCGGCAACTTCTTCATGACTCAAATGATTCATGGTTCCACCAACTTCCCTCCAACCAATAAAGGCGAAGGTCAAAATCAAATTTCAGCTCAGTTGCACAACCAGCTCGGAGAGCACGGTGCCCTTAGGCGGGTCACCGCCATTTCCCGTCAACAGTGACTGGTAGAAAGTCTGGATGTCCGCATCACCTCTAGACCAGAGAGAAGGAGGGAGGGAGGGAGAGAGAGCGAGAGTGCGAGCGCGAGAGAGGCAGAGAGGAGAGAGAGTGAGGGGAAGGGAGGGAACGACAAAGAAAGAGAAAGAGAGGGAGACGGGGACTGGGACAGGCGGGGTGGGTTGAGATGTCTGCGTCAATCCCAAACAGGTCACGAGGGTCAGCAAATGTCTGCAATGTCTCCCGACCAAGCTGCTGATGTCGAACTCGCCGCCGCCTCGGGCTGCCAGCGCCACGGCACTGTGGCGACGGAGCCTGTGGCATGCCCAGGATATCGTATGCTAGGAGAACCGCACAGCAGCAACTGGCAGTGCCACATACCGCCGCATCATGTCGCAGATCTGCGCATGCCACCGAGCTGCGGAGGGCTGGGGGTGGCCGGGGCAGTCACGAAGGCGACGAACCGCGTGGCAGTGAAGGCCGCGCAAGCCAGCACGGCTGACCTGGGCTCCGCGCGTAACGCCAGTGCGTGCACCGTTCCCCTTCACAGCCTTCACATGAGGGTTGTTCTATATCCTCGTTCCATGGCTGCCAATTAGGATCCCTTGCGCTTCGCCCTTGCGCCAACCTTGCGCGGGCTTGCGCGCGCGAGGTTTTCGCAAGTGCTAGTAGATGTGGAGGGTCAACTTGAAGTTTTGAATGAACATCGCCAAGAGATAGCTTGCGCAGAGCTTGCGTTCGCCCTTGCGCGAGCTTGCGCTCGCTCGAGAGGTGTGCACGACCGACATTTTCCCTAATCGACCTCCTAAGTATCTCACAAGAACCCGCCAAAAAGAACAACCCTCACATGGCTGTGGCTCTAAATAGGGGTATGTCGCGGTGTCCCGCCACCCGCCTGTGTTACACACGTATGTCGCGCCCACTCGTTTCATGCGTATGTCGCGGGGTTTGTCGCGGCTGCTTCGCGCTGTCTTGAAAAAGAGATACGAAACCCATGCAGTTCCAAGAAGGGGCTTGTCGCAAAGGTTTGTCGCGGAGGCTTGTCGCAGAGGTTGGTCGCTGACTGCTTGTCGCAAGCAAAACGGCTTTGTTACAAACCCTACGTCGCGGAAAGACGCCCGGGAGCCAGTTACATACCTAGACTTTTGAGCCGCAACCACATCTGTGCACCATCGGCCGCCCTTTCCCCATCCTTGATTTGCTGGCAAGCTGCACAAGAAGGCGACTGGACATGGCTCTGAGACCACTGCTGCACTGATGGAGCCCGTATGCTGCAAGCTGCAAGTCGTCTCACCACGGATGCTAACACCCTGGTCCTTGCACTGCACAGCCATCCTGTACCTCCCAGAGGTACTACACTAGCAAATACAGCATCAAGAAATGGGATCTGTCCAATCTCAGGGACTGAGGGACTTGGCGACCGAAACCAAAGACCGAGCTTGCAGCAGCCAGCTGTTCCTTCCTTTTCCCTGGCTGCTTGCCTATCCCTCAAGAAATGTGCACCTTCAAAAGCGCATTGGGTCGCACGACTGCGAGCAAAACTCTTTCATCTGCAGATCCTTTCGAAGATCTGCCGCTGTAGACTATCTAGTGCTTAAGTTAAACGGAAAACGCAGCAGCTCAGCGCTGCTTGATCTGCGGCCCGCCGAAGGTCTTCTCGATGTTTCCAAGGGCGACGTCCCAGTTCACCTTGCTGAAGAGCTCGTCCACGTTGCTCTGCTGCGCCACGAGAAGGGCGCGCTTGCCGTACGGGACGGACTTGAAAAGCTCCAGAGCCAGACCTCCGGGGCTCATTTCCGCAGCAAGCCAGACCCAGCCCTTGCCATCGTCCTCGACCTTCTGGGTCTCGTCGACGCCGTAGCCGACGCCTCCCTTGGTCACGAACATGGGGTTCTTCATCTGTGCGATCAAGCCCTGCACTCCCACGGCAATGTCCTTCTTGCCAATGTTGCCCGGGGGTGGGCCCTTCCACAGGCCGGAGTAGCGCTTGAAGCCCTGAGGCGTAAACTCGCCGTGGAAGAACTTCCTGGGTTGGACGCTCGACAGCTACGCACCAACAACTTGCTCGGCAACTTCTTCATGACTCAAATGATTCATGGTTCCACCAACTTCCCTCCAACCAATAAAGGCGAAGGTCAAAATCAAATTTCAGCTCAGTTGCACAACCAGCTCGGAGAGCACGGTGCCCTTAGGCGGGTCACCGCCATTTCCCGTCAACAGTGACTGGTAGAAAGTCTGGATGTCCGCATCACCTCTAGACCAGAGAGAAGGAGGGAGGGAGGGAGAGAGAGCGAGAGTGCGAGCGCGAGAGAGGCAGAGAGGAGAGAGAGTGAGGGGAAGGGAGGGAACGACAAAGAAAGAGAAAGAGAGGGAGACGGGGACTGGGACAGGCGGGGTGGGTTGAGATGTCTGCGTCAATCCCAAACAGGTCACGAGGGTCAGCAAATGTCTGCAATGTCTCCCGACCAAGCTGCTGATGTCGAACTCGCCGCCGCCTCGGGCTGCCAGCGCCACGGCACTGTGGCGACGGAGCCTGTGGCATGCCCAGGATATCGTATGCTAGGAGAACCGCACAGCAGCAACTGGCAGTGCCACATACCGCCGCATCATGTCGCAGATCTGCGCATGCCACCGAGCTGCGGAGGGCTGGGGGTGGCCGGGGCAGTCACGAAGGCGACGAACCGCGTGGCAGTGAAGGCCGCGCAAGCCAGCACGGCTGACCTGGGCTCCGCGCGTAACGCCAGTGCGTGCACCGTTCCCCTTCACAGCCTTCACATCTGTGCACCATCGGCCGCCCTTTCCCCATCCTTGATTTGCTGGCAAGCTGCACAAGAAGGCGACTGGACATGGCTCTGAGACCACTGCTGCACTGATGGAGCCCGTATGCTGCAAGCTGCAAGTCGTCTGCCGTGTCACCAGGGATGCTAACACCCTGGTCCTGAGGTACTACACTAACAAAAACAGCATCAAGAAATGGGATCTGTCCAATCTCAGGGACTGAGGGACTTGGCGACCGAAACCAAAGACGGAGCTTGCAGCAGCCAGCTGTTCCTTCCTTTTCCCTGGCTGCTTGCCTATCCCTCAAGAAATGTGCACCTTCAAAAGCGCATTGGGTCGCACGACTGCGAGCAAAACTCTTTCATCTGCAGATCCTCTCAAAGATCTGCCGCTTCAGACTATCTAGTGCTTAAGTTAAACGGAAAACGCAGCAGCTCAGCGCTGCTTGATCTGCGGCCCTCCGAAGGTCTTCTCGATGTTTCCAAGGGCGACGTCCCAGTTCACCTTGCTGAAGAGCTCGTCCACGTTGCTCTGCTGCGCCACGAGAAGGGCGCGCTTGCCATACGGGACGGACTTGAAAAGCTCCAGAGCCAGACCTCCGGGGCTCATTTCCGCAGCAAGCCAGACCCAGCCCTTGCCATCGTCCTCGACCTTCTGGGTCTCGTCGACGCCGTAGCCGACGCCTCCCTTGGTCACGAACATGGGGTTCTTCATCTGTGCGATCAAGCCCTGCACTCCCACGGCAATGTCCTTCTTGCCAATGTTGCCCGGGGGTGGGCCCTTCCACAGGCCGGAGTAGCGCTTGAAGCCCTGAGGCGTAAACTCGCCGTGGAAGAACTTCCTGGGTTGGACGCTCGACAGCTACGCACCAACAACTTGCTCGGCAACTTCTTCATGACTCAAATGATTCATGGTTCCACCAACTTCCCTCCAACCAATAAAGGCGAAGGTCAAAATCAAATTTCAGCTCAGTTGCACAACCAGCTCGGAGAGCACGGTGCCCTTAGGCGGGTCACCGCCATTTCCCGTCAACAGTGACTGGTAGAAAGTCTGGATGTCCGCATCACCTCTAGACCAGAGAGAAGGAGGGAGGGAGGGAGAGAGAGCGAGAGTGCGAGCGCGAGAGAGGCAGAGAGGAGAGAGAGTGAGGGGAAGGGAGGGAACGACAAAGAGAGAGAAGGAGAGGGAGACGGGGAAACTGGGACAGGCGGGGTGGGTTGAGATGTCTGCGTCAATCCCAAACAGGTCACGAGGGTCAGCAAATGTCTGCAATGTCTCCCGACCAAGCTGCTGATGTCGAACTCGCCGCCGCCTCGGGCTGCCAGCGCCACGGCACTGTGGCGACGGAGCCTGTGGCATGCCCAGGATATCGTATGCTAGGAGAACCGCACAGCAGCAACTGGCAGTGCCACATACCGCCGCATCATGTCGCAGATCTGCGCATGCCACCGAGCTGCGGAGGGCTGGGGGTGGCCGGGGCAGTCACGAAGGCGACGAACCGCGTGGCAGTGAAGGCCGCGCAAGCCAGCACGGCTGACCTGGGCTCCGCGCGTAACGCCAGTGCGTGCACCGTTCCCCTTCACAGCCTTCACATCTGTGCACCATCGGCCGCCCTTTCCCCATCCTTGATTTGCTGGCAAGCTGCACAAGAAGGCGACTGGACATGGCTCTGAGACCACTGCTGCACTGATGGAGCCCGTATGCTGCAAGCTGCAAGTCGTCTGCCGTGTCACCAGGGATGCTAACACCCTGGTCCTGAGGTACTACACTAACAAAAACAGCATCAAGAAATGGGATCTGTCCAATCTCAGGGACTGAGGGACTTGGCGACCGAAACCAAAGACGGAGCTTGCAGCAGCCAGCTGTTCCTTCCTTTTCCTGGCTGCTTGCCTATCCCTCAAGAAATGTGCACCTTCAAAAGCGCATTGGGTCGCACGACTGCGAGCAAAACTCTTTCATCTGCAGATCCTCTCAAAGATCTGCCGCTGTAGACTATCTAGTGCTTAAGTTAAACGGAAAACGCAGCAGCTCAGCGCTGCTTGATCTGCGGCCCTCCGAAGGTCTTCTCGATGTTTCCAAGGGCGACGTCCCAGTTCACCTTGCTGAAGAGCTCGTCCACGTTGCTCTGCTGCGCCACGAGAAGGGCGCGCTTGCCATACGGGACGGACTTGAAAAGCTCCAGAGCCAGACCTCCGGGGCTCATTTCCGCAGCAAGCCAGACCCAGCCCTTGCCATCGTCCTCGACCTTCTGGGTCTCGTCGACGCCGTAGCCGACGCCTCCCTTGGTCACGAACATGGGGTTCTTCATCTGTGCGATCAAGCCCTGCACTCCCACGGCAATGTCCTTCTTGCCAATGTTGCCCGGGGGTGGGCCCTTCCACAGGCCGGAGTAGCGCTTGAAGCCCTGAGGCGTAAACTCGCCGTGGAAGAACTTCCTGGGTTGGACGCTCGACAGCTACGCACCAACAACTTGCTCGGCAACTTCTTCATGACTCAAATGATTCATGGTTCCACCAACTTCCCTCCAACCAATAAAGGCGAAGGTCAAAATCAAATTTCAGCTCAGTTGCACAACCAGCTCGGAGAGCACGGTGCCCTTAGGCGGGTCACCGCCATTTCCCGTCAACAGTGACTGGTAGAAAGTCTGGATGTCCGCATCACCTCTAGACCAGAGAGAAGGAGGGAGGGAGGGAGAGAGAGAGCGAGAGTGCGAGCGCGAGAGAGGCAGAGAGGAGAGAGAGTGAGGGGAAGGGAGGGAACGACAAAGAGAGAGGAGAGGGAGACAGGGACACTGGGACAGGCGGGGTGGGTTGAGATGTCTGCATCAATCCCAAACAGATCACGAGAGTCAGCAATGTCTCCCGACCAAGCTGCTGATGTCGAACTCGCCGCCGCCTCGGGCTGCCAGCGCCACGGCACTGTGGCGACGGAGCCTGTGGCATGCCCAGGATATCGTATGCTAGGAGAACCGCACAGCAGCAACTGGCAGTGCCACATACCGCCGCATCATGTCGCAGATCTGCGCATGCCACCGAGCTGCGGAGGGCTGGGGGTGGCCGGGGCAGTCACGAAGGCGACGAACCGCGTGGCAGTGAAGGCCGCGCAAGCCAGCACGGCTGACCTGGGCTCCGCGCGTAACGCCAGTGCGTGCACCGTTCCCCTTCACAGCCTTCACATCTGTGCACCATCGGCCGCCCTTTCCCCATCCTTGATTTGCTGGCAAGCTGCACAAGAAGGCGACTGGACATGGCTCTGAGACCACTGCTGCACTGATGGAGCCCGTATGCTGCAAGCTGCAAGTCGTCTGCCGTGTCACCACGGATGCTAACACCCTGCACCTTGCACTGCACAGCCATCCTGTACCTCTGGGTACTACACTAGCAAAGCATCAAGAAATGGGATCTGTCCAATCTCAGGGACTGAGGGACTTGACCGAGCTTGCTGCAGCCAGCTGTTCCTTCCTTTTCCCTGGCGGCTTGCCTATCCCTCAAGAAATGTGCACCTTCAAAAGCGCATTGGGTCGCACGACTGCGAGCAAAACTCTTTCATCTGCAGATCCTCTCAAAGATCTGCCGCTGTAGACTATCTAGTGCTTAAGTTAAACGGAAAACGCAGCAGCTCAGCGCTGCTTGATCTGCGGCCCTCCGAAGGTCTTCTCGATGTTTCCAAGGGCGACGTCCCAGTTCACCTTGCTGAAGAGCTCGTCCACGTTGCTCTGCTGCGCCACGAGAAGGGCGCGCTTGCCATACGGGACGGACTTGAAAAGCTCCAGAGCCAGACCTCCGGGGCTCATTTCCGCAGCAAGCCAGACCCAGCCCTTGCCATCGTCCTCGACCTTCTGGGTCTCGTCGACGCCGTAGCCGACGCCTCCCTTGGTCACGAACATGGGGTTCTTCATCTGTGCGATCAAGCCCTGCACTCCCACGGCAATGTCCTTCTTGCCAATGTTGCCCGGGGGTGGGCCCTTCCACAGGCCGGAGTAGCGCTTGAAGCCCTGAGGCGTAAACTCGCCGTGGAAGAACTTCCTGGGTTGGACGCTCGACAGCTACGCACCAACAACTTGCTCGGCAACTTCTTCATGACTCAAATGATTCATGGTTCCACCAACTTCCCTCCAACCAATAAAGGCGAAGGTCAAAATCAAATTTCAGCTCAGTTGCACAACCAGCTCGGAGAGCACGGTGCCCTTAGGCGGGTCACCGCCATTTCCCGTCAACAGTGACTGGTAGAAAGTCTGGATGTCCGCATCACCTCTAGACCAGAGAGAAGGAGGGAGGGAGGGAGAGAGAGAGAGAGCTGCGAGCGCGAGAGAGGCAGAGAGGAGAGAGAGTGAGGGGAAGGGAGGGAACGACAAAGAGGGGTTGAGATGTCTGCGTCAATCCCAAACAGGTCACGAGGGTCAGCAAATGTCTGCAATGTCTCCCGACCAAGCTGCTGATGTCGAACTCGCCGCCGCCTCGGGCTGCCAGCGCCACGGCACTGTGGCGACGGAGCCTTCAAACTAATCGAAATGCAAATCCGGTCCCAACAGTCCCAACACCCTCAAGCTACCTAACCAAGGTCTGGGGCACGGTGGGCTGGGCGCCGCAGGCGCAGCCACAAAGGCCGCCAGGCGTGTGGCGGTGAAGGCCGCCAGGGCAAGGACCAGGGACCTCAGGATGTAGGGCGCAGGGGGTTTAATAACTGTATAGGGTTTGAGAAAGAGCGCATTAATGCGCATTAAATCTCAATGTTTGAGATTATATTGTTAAGAGGCTTCGCTTCGAGATCGAGCACTCTTCAAGCCAAGGGATGATCTGCCACTTGGGTTCCCTTCGAGCAGACCGGGACGCCGGCACGAGAAGCTTTGAAGCCATGGCCGACAGCAGGACCACTTTGTGCCCCCTTTTTGATCAATAAACGCTGCAAGTGCTGCGCTCAAACGGGCGTTCGGGGCGTCCACTGTTCGACTGGTCAGTTTCAAGGAGCTTTGAAGATGCAGAGACAGTTGAGAACTGCATAGAACTGCTAATGCTTGGTGCCAGGCCGGAGATGGTGTGGAAATCCTGAGCTGCCAGCTTCCGAACCAGTGCGGGGTTGGTACGAGATGTTTTAAGCCAACCGTTTCCCTCACCTCCTCGCCCCGGTCTTCCGGCCTGGTCACTGGAGTGAATGACCACCCCCAGAGGAGTGCCGAAGCCCCCAGAGAATCTTGCAGAGAGTCCCGCCGAATCTCCCAGCGAAGCCCGCAGAGGATTCTCGGCGGGCCCTGCGGGATTCTGGCCAATCTCACATTCCTGGAGTGCCCACCCCAGAGATTTCCGCGCAGAATCCCGCGATAGAAGCCGCCCCGGCTACATCTCTTTAAGTACCTGTCCGAAACGGCAGGATGATTCCAAGTCGGTCCGCTGTAGGGTGGCGACAACCGAAGAAAACAAGCCTATTTTGGTTTCGAATTTTCTTGTAAAAGCAGCCTTAAGAAAGCCTGCTTATTGAAGCCAAGAAGCAGAGTATGCTTCTGCTCTAGCTTGTGCTGGGAATGCAAGAGCTGTTGCTGTTGCTCCTGCTGCCTTCAGCTCGCGACCGCAATCACACCGGAAGTTATGATTGCAAAAACTGAGTGAAGCCTGTACAATTTGCAGAATCTGATGCCAAGCATTGGCCGGGATGCCGCTGAAGCAGGGTCAGGATCTTCTCAATTTGCTCATGAATTTGAAGAGGTCCTGCGACAAGCAGTTCAACAGGAAGTAGATTCAAGTAGATACCACAAGAACACAAATCTACGCCGCCCCTTGCCAATACCTGCGAAGCAATGTGGAGAATGGATCAGTCCTGCTACTGATGCCTCGGTCGGCCGAGCAAGCCTCGGTTCGAGGACGGAGCGTCTCAGGATTGCGTGGCTTCCACCACGTGCATCTTCTGCTGCTCAGGGCATGTTATGAGCTTCGATCATGCCCGTGAAGGAATGGGTCCTTTGGATCTTAGGATGAAAGCCTCGCACAGAGAGGTGCTACTCGGGGTCAGGTTTTGAAAGCCAAGCCTTCTGGGAGCCTGGCGCCAGGCGCGTCAAAGGGGAAGCAATGCTGGGACCTCCCACGCTCCCAAACTGCCCCGTTTTTGAATGCTTTGGGGGCTCGCAAAGTTCTGAGGTTGAGGTTCAGGTCCTTGACATTCATGCTGTATTCATACCCACGTGCTCATGACTCCATGAAAACACGTGTTTACAAAATGATTTTCCGCTATTTGTATTGCATCTATACTGTATGAACCAGAGCACGTGGGAAATTCATATTCTTTGCAGAGGGGCGCTGCTGTTCTTTCTCGTTTTTGATAAGTGTCCTTTTTGATAAGAGTGGGAAAAGCACGGTACAGCACTTTTGACGCCTTGAAGCCCTGAAGTGCTGTACTGTCCTTAAAAACTTGGTGTCTGGAGGCTCTACAAGGGGTCACTGCCCCAAAAGTCTTAAAGAACCGGAAGCCTAATTTTTCCAGAACCTTGAGGGCTGCAGCTGCTGTAGCTCTTTGAAAAAGAAGGTTGTTAAATTTAGGTTTTTCCAGATTCCGGCCTAAAGTGTCAATACTGCGGCATTTTCGAAGCCTGGAAGATCTGACGCTTGGTCTTAACAATTGGAGTCTGGGACAAACACTCCAAAGAAACTGTTCGCGCGCGCGCGCGCCGTTCACTTGTAAAACCACACGTGTGGCAAAGTCGGCTACCCTGGAAAGTCAAGTCCCGCATGTATCATGCTCCTCTCTCTTCAGTGCGCGCCTCCCCGTCGATTCTGATTTCGTCAGTCTTGAAACAGGTGCGGAATTTTATACGAGTTTGGAAGGGATGAGATATGAAGGAAAAGGGGACAGAGGACCGGCAGTTGATTTCGAAGGTGCGCCACACGAAACGTTCTTACAACACCCGGAAACTTGACTAAATAGGGGATCCCACCGGGCACCCCCAACGGTGACTTTAAGGGGGTGGCTACGCCATGTAGTTTCTCCGCAGGATATCAGCACCGCACAAAACTCACCAAGTCCAAGAAATGGTTACCCAAGACATGTTACCCTACATGCATCACCACACCCCCACCCCCACCCCCAAACCCAGAGGGGCATAGAAATCACGCAAGAGGTCTGAACCACTCCTCGAAAAAGATCGAACGTTCGGTGATTGCCTGACGACTGCGCCCACGCGCGCTCCAGACCTTGTTCCCCTGTACAGTTGCCAAACCCCAGGACATACGGAGAATCGCCGTTCATGAAGACATTCGGCACAACATAACTTTTGATAATGCGTAAAGCCAAGAACCTGATGGGAATCCACAACTAAACAAAAAGCGAGACACTGCATTACCCGAAATGCTCTTGGCTCAAGTCAGGATGCTAACTGATGTGTTTGTTTTGGAATTGGAAGTTCGGTTAGAGACATACCAAAGCTGTGCCTGCGGATACCGAGACACACTCTGCAAGCACCACATTGCAGGCCTGGCGACTTTGACTTTTCCCACCACTCGAGAACCTCCTCAGTGACCAGCAACCCGAAGAGAGCACAAGTTCACCAGGAAGACTCACCAGGAAGTGAAACGGCTTCCAAGTCCCAAGCGCCCACAACCTTGCAGCAGACTGGGCTTGTGACATCGGCGTGGCCAGCGTCTTCCTTGTCTTTCAGGCCGGAGAGCGTGGTCCCCAAAGTCTCCTGTGCGGACTTGCTCTCTTGATCTCTCTTGTGTCCTTTGCTGCCGTACACTCGGAGCAGCCTGAGATCACTGCGCCGCTCTTGCAACGAGCCCACCTAGTCCCACCTAGTCGTCTTCGGCCACAACCTTGCGAGGCCTCGAGACCCCAGCCCTTCAACCCTCCAACCCGGAAGTTAGAGTCTCCTGATTCTCTTTGACTTGCTGCTGGTCCTCCGCCCAGGGTCACGGACTTGAGACAGGAGTCGGCATATGGTATCATGCGGTGAGCTTCTGGGGTTTGGAAACATAGCGGAGAAAGGGAGGCACGAGCAAGTGATAGCAAGTGCCATTGCCTTCCGAAGTTCGGCCATCATCTCCCTCAGGTTGCCCAGCTCGGCCTCAGAACACTGCAGCACGTGATAGGGTTCAACGGGGTTCAGGCATAGAGTCACGCAATGCGTGTAGGGAATGTTATGTTGAAAGCATGGCAGGTCCACTGCAGGTCCCTTAGCATCTCGTCCATTTCCAAGGACCCGCAACACTCTACAGCAAAGCCGACACCGCAACGCATAACGAGGCTTCTGCCTGGAACTGTAGCTAGGGTTCATGGATGCTGTCTGCGTGTTGACTGTCACCATCCAAGTGGCCTGAAGACGCTCGATCTCTTCGCGGGACCCATCCTAGGAACAGCGTGCTCCAATTTCCTGATCCTCGCTAAAGGAGTGGCTTCTGCTTCTTGCAGCCCGGGACGGAGACCTGCTCAGTGCTCGCTGCGGTCCTGGGCAAAGCAGCTTGAGGCACATCAGGATGAAGGGCAGTTGGCAGGCAACGTTTACGTAACTCCAACACTCAGAGCTTTTAGCAGGGTACTGTAAGTATAGGTAAGTCCCCGGCGGGAACGGCTTCCCGTTCCAGTGCGAGGATGGCTCATCGCCTTTCTACATCTTTCTACGCACAATTTCGTGGACTCGGCTCTCTCACCCTCGCTAAGCGAAGCAACGCCAAGTGACTCCGTTATCATGAAACCACGGACTGTTCCACTCTGCTGCTCACCATGTCACAAGAAGATGCTTGCGAACCGGTTGCCTGGCATGACCGACGCGTTCGCCGTGCTGAAGCCTTCACCAAGCTTACGGGAACGTTGAAGCAGTTGAACCAGTTGATGTTTTGCAGCTGCTTTGCCACTACGAAACCAGGCATGCCACAAATCACCAGATGCCTGATCTCAAGACTATACCTCCAGGCTGAGTTTCGGCAAGGCATTCTTGCAAAACCTGAAGAAGCGACCTCCTGGAGCTACAGCTCGCAGAATTACGCGGAAAACTTTCCGCTCACAATGTGGAGTGGAGCCGCCTTGCTCGGGCGAAGGGGAATGAAACAACAAGGACCCTGACCCTGCAGACCTTGCGAAGCCTTCCAGAAGTCTTGTCCGTCTTGTCCTGCGAGACAATGAAGAAGGAAGCCAATGCATAGCTATGCGGCGCTTGGGAAAATTAAGACATTGGCTGCAAGTGCTGAAGACGTAGGACAGGCTGGAACCGAACCCCAAGATGCAGTCTGATGTTGGCGCCTCCTGGTTCGCTCTGATGCAGCCAACCTGCACGTCTTGCCCTCTCTCCCCTTCCCCTCTTTTCTGGTCCACTCTCGCACTTTGCACTTCGAAGCTTGCATCTTGTCGGCCTTTTCACTGCTGCAGAGAGTCTGACAGAGTCTATGCCTTTTGTGCAGGCAGGTTGGGTCTTCGCAAACTGACTCTTGGTAACAGAAGATGCTTGAAGATGCCAAGGAGTGGCAGACATTAGGGGGCTACCTCGCAGGTTCACCTCTTCGAGCCAACCCTACGGCACGAGAAGTGATGCGACGTCCTGACCTGCATCTCAAACCTTTCACTGTGAAAAGTGCCCCTACTCTTGTCAATTCTTGTCACGTTGTGCTGCTTTGTTGCTGTACCTGCTGTCTACAATTAAAGCATCTGTTCGGAGACCCGGAGACCTTGAATGCAGGACTGTTCTGCAGCGCTGCATATGCATCAGCCCTCAAGCCTAAGACTTCCAAGCTCCAAGCCCCAACCTAAACAAATCAGGACAGGTTCTAAGCCAGTCAGAAATCACCGCTCAGCCGCACCTCAGTGATCTGATCCGCCATGCAAGACCAAACGAGTTGGAGCTTTGGGGCTTCTGGGAAAGAACTTTCGAACTGAGGCGCCCCAGAAGGCGTGGGGGGCGGGGGGTGCTACAGTAAAGGCCGAGGGCCTGTGATTCCAACACGACTCTTGTCATACCAGCACTCTTTTTGAAGGGATACTGGGAAGTTTTTTCAACCAGGCCAAGGGGCGATCTGTGAGACGCCAGGGTACTTTGGGAGCTGCAGCTTGTACTTGTCCTGAGGCTCCGTCTGGTCTATTCATGTGCTAGGTATCCTGTTGCTCTGGCAATTGCTATCGACGAGTCTCCAGAAACCCCCACTGTTGTCGCCCTGCTTTCCTCGAATGATTTACGGTGCTACAGTAGCCTCTCAGTCAGATGAGAGGCGACAATGCCAGGGGGAACAAAGCGCCCACCTGTGCCGCACAAGACTTCTGCTGCAACAGGGTCTAGGGTTTCTGGTGGGGATGTCACAATCACAACTATACCTTAGGTGCACCTACATCAGAAAAGTCCTCATGTTCACAGAGGCACTCACAATCGCAAGACTGATGCCCTTCCTGAATCTGGTACATGGACACCGAGTCCGAGCACCGGAGCAAAACCCTAAAAACAACCGATCTTTTTGGCCAAGCCGACAAACCCCGAGCCACTTGTCCGACATGCCCTGACCAGTGCCGGAATGGCAAGCCCAGACATCAAGCCCATAAGCCCATAAGCCGATAAGCCCATGACACCCCCTTATCGAAGCCTCACACGTCCCCGATCCCTGAATCCCGAAACCCATTTGAATGTTACTCAAACATTGATCTCCCGGCCTAGGTAGTGCTTGCCTGTGAAATTCTTGGCTGCTTGTTTCGGTGCCGTGAGGGAGATCCTCAGCTCTCCAGGCTTCTCTAGGTTCAGGGCTTTCTAGGCTACAAGAGCTTAGGCATTTGCCTTATAGGCCTAGATGGCCTCCAGGGTGTAGAAGGCTTCGGCCTAGGGCTCAGCTCAGCCAAGGCTCAGCGCATCGGGGACAAGCCCCTTGCCACCTCATGTTCGTCTGTGGAACTGCAGTGCGTTGCGAGGGGTGCGGCTGAGTCGCATCACTGGAGAAGTTACATCTCACCCCGAAAGTTATCGGGGTGAGGTGAGGAAGTCACATCGCGCCGCGTGAACTCGGGTTACATGTGCAACTTTCAGCACCCAATCCCCCTAAGCACCTGCGCTCCCACGCAAGAATTGAGGCTGACTGTGAAAGTAAACAAATTCAGACCACACGCGCAAAAGGAAGCACGATGAACGCCTGATGGCCCCACTCGTAGCCGGACGCATGACTTCACCCATTGCTCTATCTTCCTCTGCTGGTGCCAGGGCAAGCCCCGCATGAAATTGCACTGGATTCTGCTAGCTGCGCGCGGTCCGTTGGGCGTTATACACCGGTCGTACTTGCCGATCATCCACATGCTTAACATGGCCAGGCGTCCGCTCGTATCGCCCTTCCTTGGTGGGTCGGGGGACTCATGGGGCCTTGTATATACATGCACATCTAGTTTGCTTCGTTTTGTTATTGTTGTGATTGTGAACAAAAGATATCGAAAGTATGAGTACTCTATGTCTCTGCTTATATGCGGGGGCCATTGTACTCTCAGGACTACATTGCGACGAAGCGTAAAGGGGATGATAATCATAAGGCAAGGCTCTCCACATCCCAACCTAAGCTGCGGAAACCCCGCGAAACAGCCAGAACACGACATGTTCACGAGAATCGCGCTGAGGCCGCAGCCGCTGGGGATGTCCACCGACATCACCTGCAAAGACTTCAAAAGAGCTGTAATGGCTGCGAATACGTTGCAAAATCATTGCAAAATCCCTGAGCGCTGGGAAAGTGCAGCTCGAAAGCCCCAGGCCTTGACTTCTGCGGCCTTGAGGCCCTGTCAGGAAAGCATGACTCCGACTGCCGAGGATGCGACTTGAAGGGTCTGAAGGACCCATCCGCCTCCAGAATGCCGGCGAAAGGCTCGCGCGGCCTGAGGGAAGCGTGTGAGGGATCTTTCAGCGCTTCGAAGTTTTCTCACTGGCATCTCTGTCCCTGGCATCCCCTTGAAAGAAAAGCCGAAGATGGCATCAACGGCCACGTCGAAGCCTGCGAAGAGCATGAGTATTGAGAATGGTGTCATGTGCTTAGGGAAATGTAGTGACATGACGGGAGATGCAGGGTGGTGCAGACTTGCCCGTCCCTGACAGCTACACAGAAAATGATCGAAGAAGAACGTGTACCGCCGACGGGGCTAGGCAATTCGAGTGGCTCTTGGCAAAGTCTTGCGGCATCTCGGACAGCACTGGTATGTTGAGCTGCTCGCACTGAGTTACCTCGGTAGTGCAGCACGCAACAACACAGATCTGCAATCCTCGTCCTTCGGTCCCCGCGAGCATCTCCAATTGAGACACGGATGCCAAGTTGATGAACAGTTGCTTGTCTGGTCGCTTTGGATACCTAGTTCAAGCAAACCGGTTGGATGGTGGCAGCTTCCGCTAAAGGAACAGGTACGCAGAACATACTTGCCACTAGCCTCATTTGCGGCATGGAAGTTCTGAAAAACTGCAGCCAAAGGCACACAACGCTCACGGAGTAGCCGAAGTGGTACAAATGCCGGGCGGCTACCAATCCTGACTAAACAACTGCAGGGCTGGGGTCTGACGTCACAGCTGTTGGCCATGGTGCCCGAATGTGCCTTCATGTCCGTTCCCAGACTTTCTTCCAAGCTTCCGTCACCGCCGTTGTTGCCAGGACCACAGATTATGATCACACGCTGTCCAGATGGTAGCGGATAAGCATCCTCACTATGTCCAAGGCTCGCTCCACCATGCGTTGCATGTCTGCGCATTGCGGCCCGAAGAAATGCTTCTTCATCGTCTTCTCTTGTTTTGAGCAGGCTTCTGCCACAGCGCTGGCGACCGAAAGCCCAGCCAGCTCCTCCGGACTATCAAACCCTCTCTCATATCTTCTCAGCAACGCGCATTCGGACAGATGCTGACGCATGACTGCATGATACTGCATAGTATTTGCACGTATGAGATTGCTGTCATGAACATCATCATGATCGCTTTCAGCAAGGCATCAGCTTAGAATAACAGCGCACGCGGTGCTCTCTGCATCTTTGCGGCTCCATAAGCTGGTCCACTGAGAATCCTGCGGAAGGGTTTCATCTCATTTGATATTGTTGCTTCGACTCCTGAAATTCCAACGAGCACTATACATCGACATTACGAATTCTGCGAGACTTTGCAAGATGCTTGAGCCGCCTGGTGTGGCCATCAACTCCTCATCGATGGCAATGGCCTCTGCCTGGCCCAGGAGCGAGACTTCCTGGCCTGGCGAAGGCAGTTGACGACTGCGGACTGCGGGGTGCACACGCCTGATGCTGGATGATGCTGGAAGCACTCCTTCAACTTACCAGGTCCTACCAGGTCCTACCGCTCCACCACCACACAAAGCGTTGAGAGGTGTGCCCTGGTGTGCCTGCGGAACTTTGGCAGGCAGTACTCTTCACCTGGACGCCACCAGGCTAGCAAAGATAGAAAAGCTGGAAAAGCTGGAAAAGCTAGAAAGTCCATGAACCTTCAAGCACGAGGAAGCCTCCCGGCCGAAAGCGAAGGCAGAGGCCAGCAACGGCCGCCGGGCGCAGAAAGCCACGGCAGGGCCTCCTTCGCAGGAGAAAGACCCCCCCTGCGTGCCCTGCCATGATGTGTTGCGGCCTAACTCTTGAGAAGCGAGGTCACACACACACACACACACGACGACGACGCAAAATTAGAACAAAAAAACAACAAAACAAAGCAAGAACCGACACGAGATGGCACCTGTTTAAAATGTTGGAGAAAAAATATGAACGCCCTCTCCACCACAAGTGAGCCACGTGAAAGGCGATGCACAATCTGCTGGGAGGGGCGGGTGAGCATGGGA